GCTCTAATATTACAAACGCTAATGATCAATTTAATCCTGCTACGTTACAGTGTTAAAGAAGTGCTCCTCTTTAATGGAAGTTTGTTACTAAGCAAAAAAAAAGACTATTTTAGTTAGTTGGATACATTTGTGAACACAAGTCATTTTTGTGTACAATTTATTTTTGGTTTTATGTGCCTAACTCCGTTTGACTGTAGTATTTGTATGAACAGGTTACACAGTTGATTAAAAGTTGTTTGATAAACGATCATCTCGTCTTTATTAATAGATGGCACACAGCTGATCAAACTTCAAACCAGAAGCTAATGATGGGTATATTAGAGCATCCTGGTGCAACAAGTTTAACTGTTGACACGATTAGCCGACTATTAAAATAGTTTTTTGTGGCACCCAAATAGTTAAAAATATTCAGGAAAAAAATAAAAACAAAAAAACGAATGAAGTCGTTCTCTTGCATTTGTACAGTTGAACCAGAGTTTTATTTTTTTAGTGTTTCTTTACCACACACCCTGGAGAGATAACGCGTCCAGCATGTCTGGTTTGAGGCGCGGCTCTCCTGTATTGCAGTGAGCCGCACTAAAGTTTCATCTCCATCTCTCTCTCTCGCTCTGCTGTCCGACCCGACTTGGCCCGCTCTATTAACCCTCCCACTGTCTTTATGGGTGACCCCGCGAGGAAAGTTGACCATTGAGCAGGATTGATGGTTTATCCCCTGAGGTCCATGTGGCAGAGGTGAGGTGGTGCTCATTCCTCACCCCCGCCACGTGGACCATCATTGTTGTCAACTAAAATCCCTCATTTTCTCTGCGAGTCACTAAAGAGTTTAGATAAACATTTTATAAACGTACTGTGTGATGAAAGACCTTTGTGTGTGCACAAGCCTTGCTTTTATGTGGAACTACATTAATTAAAATAATCATTTAAGCTCACATTGGCTCACGTTGACTCTAAATGACTTCCTCTGGTGCACAGCAATAGGGAGTCTCCTCCCTTTCCCGTCCGGATCCGGAAGAATAAAAAAATGAATGATTGCAAGTCAACAGGGCTAAAAGAGCATCTTTCTAATCTGCTTTGTCTTACGCCCTGAATCGAACAAATGTTGTACTTCTAGTCAGGGATGTGTATTTTTGAAATTCTGGCAATACGATACATATCACGATACAGGGGAGACGATACGATATATCACGATATATTGTGATACATTCAGTCAGACGTTACAAGCAATTTTTTTACTGAATTTATTGTAAGAATGTTCAATAAACAGTCCAAACTGATACGTAACATGTTTAACATGAGGTATCTGAACCATGATGGAGGGATTTACATTTCAATGGTGGAAACAAAACCCGTTGCACACTGCTGCCAACTAGCGGGTGGCGATTGAATTGCACAAAACGAAAAGAAAATACACAAAAGTTTGCATGTAAATTCTTTCAAGATTTAGATACACGGCTTTTGAATATCGATGTAATAATCGCAGAAAAAATATCACGATATATTGCCATATCGATATTTCCGATACACGGCTTTTGGATATCGATATAATATTGCTGGAAAAAATATCACGATATATTGCCATATCGATATTTTCTTACATCCCTACTTCTAGTTAAATGAATAGTAATGATGTGTTTCGACCACGCCAGCCACGTACTTTGAGATTTATCACATACCTGCAAACTCGGAGGGTATGAAAATGGCCTTGGGAAGACCCATAAAGGCAAATCTGCTAAAGTCCTCGACAGAAAACTGTTATTTAGTGGTGATTTTGTTCGATTTAAAGAACTTTAAGCTCAAAACCGCTGCAAAAAGTTAAAGCACTCATACTCACTGAGCGCCGCTGCCGCCTCGTCATCTGCAGCGTGCCGTCTCTGACTGATTGGTCAAATAACGACACATGACTAACACACTTGAACATAGATTGTTTGTGAATAAGAACTAGTCCACACGTCCCCTCATTTCTTTGATTCTCATAAGAGTGACTGAAACCCAACGCTGAAACCCGACAAGAAACCGCCCACCTCCAAAAAAGCAAAAACTCATCAGATCTACACGATTCACGTGAACGTCACATTTAGTTTCATAAACAGCAATTTTCACCGAAAAGCACGACTCTAACAACACATGTTGTACTTCTAGTTAAATGAATAGTAATGATGTGTTTCGACCACGCCAGCCACATACTTTGAGATTTATCACATACCTGCAAACTCGGCTACGTCACAAGGTACGTCACATATATAATGTCACCACAGAATCTCAGGGTATATACAGCAATCCTTAAGTAAAATTTACTACTTTTTAATACTTTTTTTTACTACCTTCGGAATTTTTTTAAAACCATCACAACACTTAATTGCAAGTGTTAATCAGCGACCTATTTACACATATTTTAACATATATAACATACAAAAAGAATAGACTTAGAGACTCACTGATGTTGACAACGTATTGCACATATTTATTTTACTTAGAAAATAAGCCAGGCACTTCTGTTCAGCGGTTCAGACAGTTGACCACGAGGCCTGAAATGATGCAGAACGACCACTGAATATGACGTCATCATTATGTGACCGGATATGCTAAAGTAGGGCTGCTCGATTGTGGCAAAAACAATAATCACGATTATTGTGACTGAAATTGAGATCTCGATTTTTTAAGACGATTTTTCAATTTATGTAGATTTTTGTTTTTGTTTTTATTCAGTCATAAAATTGCTCAGGGCACAATCAGGGCAAAAATAAACAAGATGATCACTAAAATAACTCCCGATTCCCAGTATAAAAAGACCAATATACTTGTGGCAAGGTGGATAAACGAGAGCCCAGGCAGGATTCGATCCCCAGACTCCCAGGTGAGAGTCATACTCTCTAACCAGTCAGCCAAAGAGACATCCCCTTGGCCAAGTAGCCAGGATGCATGATCTATCAGGACACTGTGACAGGACACTCACACTGTCACATACTTATAGCTCATAGTTTATAAACCAAGGGCTATAGACCTTGGTTTAACTCATTTAAGTCTAACCAGTACAGACCCAAATACCAATATCTTGCAAATACTGACAACAAGAATTATACAGTGGCATTTATAACAAATACATGCAAATTGATGTTCACAAAATTTTGCATAACATTTATTGAGTCGTGTCAAGGTGCTGTAGGAGCGTGCACTAGCACCGTGTCCTCAGAGAGATTAGTTATTAGTTATCAGCGTGAGGAACTCATTTCTACCTTATTTATAAACTATTTATTTACAAGTCGTCCATCAGTTAATGTAATAATTGTCCCAACCACAGCTGCACCCCCCACCCCCCAACCCAGTCTCACAGCTATCAGGGGCAAACTGCACGCGCCGCACGCGCACATTTAGCCGTTTTTAGCGGCTCAGGAGTCCGCAGGTGCGGTGTGTGTGTCACTCACTCTGGTTAATCCAACAAGAAGCCGGCTCCGAGAGCTGTCTTAAGCGACCGACACATCACTACATCATTCCCTTTCCTAATGTCCTGAAGAACGGTCAGGAGCGCAGGCGGAGTGTTTAGCTAACCTGCAGGAAATGTCGACGACAGTTATCCAGAAAGTAGCTAAGGGTTACCAGAGATGTTTCTGAGGTGTTCGCCAGGTACTTTTAAGATTTAAAAAGTCAAGAAGGGGGTCTGAGAAGCTGTTGGAAATAGCGTCAAAGTCGCCAAGTTGGCAACACTGTGAGGAGCGCTTCATTTGCAACTCAGGGCAGCGTAAGTGGGAGGAGCAAATAATCGGCTTGTTTTGTTTTTATAATCGTTCAAAACATTTCATTCGGAATATATTTCTATGTCGATGTTCAGAATACGACACCTGATAGTCTGAAAAAATTAATACCTAATTTGGAAAAAATAATACCTCTGTGACCAAATTTAACACTTTTAATGGCCTTAAATTTGACTATTTTTATTTATCACTTTTTAATACTTTTTAAAACCCCGCGGACACCCTGAATCTCCTCTGCCCTAGCGTAGCTGCTACTTACCACATGACAAGATTTATGGTGGTTATTTCCTCCTGTGGGAAGGATTAGAAGTTTGCTAAACTGACATCCATTTTTCCTCTACTCTTCTCTGTTGCTACTTCCAGCAGGATGACGCACCATGTCATAAACTTTAGGGTCAAGTTTAAAATCCTGATTTTTGTTTTTAAGGCCCTGAACAGTCTGGCACCGGATTACCTGTCAGATCTTGTCACTAGATATGTGCCAAACCGGGAGTTGAGGTCTGCTGTTTGCCTGCTGCTTCGTGTTCCATTAATGAAATACAAAACGCGGGGGCAGCGTGCTTTTGTCCATGCTGCTCCGACACTCTGGAATGCACTTCCTCTTTCGGTGAGGCTGGCACCATCCCTCCTCAGGTTCAAATCGCTGCTGAAGGCTCACTTTTACGACCAGGCATTTTTAAATCCCTGACTTTTATTATGTTATTGTGTCTTTTTATTGACTGTAATTATCTGCCTTGTTGTGCATTTTATTGTTGACCGTGTACTGTTTTATATTGTGTTTTTACTTTTTATTCTGTACAGCACTTTGGTCGGCGGCCATGCCGTTTTTAAATGTGCTTTATAAATAAAGATGGTATGGTATAAAGCTGGAATCGTCTCAGACTGGCTTCTTGAACATGACAATGAGTTCACTGTACTCAGATGGTCTCCACAGTCAGATCTCAGTCCAATAGAGCACTTTTGGGATGTGGTGGAACAGGAGATCATGGATGTGCAGCCGACCAATCAGCAGCAACTGTGTGATGCTACCATGGACCAATATCTCTGAGGAATGTTTCCAGTACCTTGTTGAATCGACACGAAGGATAAGGCAGTTCTGAAGGCAAAAGGGGGTCCAACCCAGTACTAGTAACGTGTATCCAATCAAGTGGCCAGTGTGTACATTCATCTCTTTACGTAGCTACATTTATTTAACGAACATCTGAGGGACTGGAGGAGGAACCATTCAGTTATTGCTGATTGGTGTAATACCTGGAGGGTTGTTCCTTCGATTGGCGTAAGGGTCTTCTGGCTCAGCAAAAACACTGGAGGCCATTTTGTTTTTCCTGACAGGGACCTTCTCCTCATCTGCACCAAGTGAAATGTTGGAGCCGCCACCAGGAGGGCGCAACACCCTGGAAAGAGAGTCAGCACTTATCAGCAGCTGCAGCTGGATTCTTCTGTTTTGTTGTGAATGGCATCAGCTTGTTAATGTTTGCTCTGAATAAAAAAAAAACAGGGTTGAGCAAGTAGATAACATTAAAAATGACATAAAATAAATTTAGGTCATAATAAATGTATTCATGTGTGTTCATTAAATGAATCAGGATCAAGACCATATTTATGCTGCACCCAACATTTGTAATGAGTTAAGGGAGTAATGGTAAGTGTGATCCTTGACATGTTATTAGATCAGTTCACGTTAACAAGAACAAAAGCTAAGTGCAATCACTCAGAAAACTCTAGGCTCTAGACTCTCATCCACAAATTAGGACTTGCTGCTGGGACGTGGTAGCCTAGTGAACTAGACCAAACTCTTGCTTTGCAAAAAATATATTTATTTAGTCTGGTTTGTCAGGCTAGGGATGTGGGACTGTCACTCACACTCAAACATTTTAGGGCAATGCTCATGAAAATTGGTTATTTTATAAATAGGACATTTCTGATTGTGTTTTTGCACAGCTGAGAGACAGATTTCCTTCTTGTTTAGTCAGCTCAAATAACAGCAATCAGGTGTGGGACTGCCCTGCTGCATCATTTTATGAGACATTATTGCTTTCCTTCATTAGGTATACATTATTAAACAGGCAACTGAGTGCATGCTAAAATATTTTTAGTGCATACATGGTCCTTTTTTTCACAAACATCCAATAACACTGGATAGTTTTTTTATGTTTAAAGATCTAACCTTTTTTTGCTCACTTTTGTATACATTAGTAAACATAAAAATAGCTAAATCCTCAAAAGCACGTGTATATGTAAGGTGACAGACAATAACTAGCTCCGTATAAAGGCTTGATGTCAGGCGTGGCCCTCGTTTCCAACAGGCACCACGCTGGACAGGCTTATTGTACATCTGCTGTTGTCTTGACAACTGATCTGGAATCTGCGGAGGCCCCACCCTAATGGAGTGACCATCTGATGCCGCTGATGGTTTTCAGACTATGAAAAAGAAAGCTGTTTATGCAAAGAATTGCTTTCAAATTAGAACAATTAAATGCTTGCAGTACCATCACCTCCAGGCCAGTATGTGCTAGCTACGCAGCCCCCCCTGCATAAAATGGCAAGGCTACGTAGCTAGCACGAATGCTAACTAGCTAAACAGCTATCGTTGCGAATAGCAAGGTGTGGTGTTTTCATCACAGTTCCGTTATTTATTAACCGATCAATAAAACTGTTGAAGTAAATAATTTTAAATATGAGATGGTAGAGTAAAAAAACGTAACTTCTTGGTTATTAGTCTCAAACGGTTTAACAAGTCTGCCCGACGCCTTTTACCTGGAACTGCTTTTAGAGCCGGGCTCCATCCCTTGAAATGTCGTAGTAGTCGTCATTTCTGTAGCAAATGCCGAACGCTATAAATAACCCTGTCAAGATGAACGCAAACTACACTTCTGTTAAACGCTTCACCACCTCATCATTGTCTAAGCCAGCTAGCGTTTCTTGAACATCAGCATCCACCTGCCTCCGGTCCGAGTAGCCAGGGCACGGTAAGATACTTCCGGGCGGCTTTTCAAAATAAGACGCGCTATGACAAACTTTGCGGCATGCTTTTGTCCAACATTTTTAATTAACATTGATCAATAAAAACGTTCCGCAATAACACCGACAGCATGGCCTTTTTAAATCGTTCCTTCATTTTATTTCAAGAAGGGCTGTCGTTCACTCTACTCCTCCAAACTGCAGGAAAACTGGATTTTATCTCGTTTAATACATTTAAAACCAGATAAGAGCCCCATTGTACCTGCCTTCTTTCATTTTGTATATAACATGTGTAATTTTACAGCTACCTTTGCTGCCTCTTGGCCAGGACTCCCATGAAAATAAGGTTTTTGATCTCAGTGGGACAATCCTGGTTAAATAAAGAATTAATAAAATTTCCTATTTAGATCAGATGGAAACTATTTGTTTTAACATGTGAAGTGATTGAGCTCAAAAGTATTTAATCCTAGCCACCAGAAGAGCATCGCACAAAGCTGTTATGTGAAAACATTAATATTTCCACAAATTAAAATACTAGTAATAAACACCAAATCAAAACTAGAGTTAAACGTCCACCTTTTTCTGAATTGCAGTGTTAGAAACAAAACACCTTACAATTCAGACACTTCATATCATGCAGCTCGTTGGGCTCTGCAGAAGCCTGTTAATTACCTGCCGATTGAAATCAGGTGTGTTGAAACTAAACCGGGCTGGACCTACAGGACCAGAATCGAATACCCCTGCATTACAGGCTAAAGTGTTACATCCGCTTAATGCTTAAGTGGTGCTCAAAAATACTCACAAGTGTGGTTAGAGTGCCATAAAAGAAGCAAAAGATGTTTAAAAAATGTCAATTTATTCCAATAATACATTTTAAACAACAACAACTGATGTCAGTAAATTTGAAACAAGGGCTCAATGACAAAATTCAGAATCCAAACCTGACAGTGTATAAAAACAACTGAACTTTTTTCTTACTCTTGGAAAAAAAGGGAATAACTGTGACATTGTTTAATATCTTCAGCACAAATGAGTCACTGCAGCTTAAACAGCTTCCTGCACCGACAAGTTAATGTCTGAATGTCGGTGAGACGAGTACACACTGCTCTGCTGCTGCACTACTATTCCACTGGGTGGGATCAACACCAGCCGAGAACATTTGAAGACAGGTAAAACAAAGGTGTTCAGGGACTAGAGAGAGGTAGGGCTGTCCATAGCCAACAGTCTTATAGAGACGTGCCTCCGGTCTGCTGTTGGAAAACATCAATCGTATCTTCATCCTCCATTTCTAACTGCAAATGAGAAAATTAGAAAGGCCAGAGTGAGCAGGTTAGTAGAAACTTGTAAGCAGTGGAATTATTTAAAGCAGCTTTTGATGATTCAAATGAAACAGTGCAGTGTTGAGGATCAGTGATCACAATTGTGACAGCTTTAAGATAAACCTTTCACGCTGATTTGTCGGTGGTAAACCTTTTGAGCAAATTCAACATTAGTGGCTTTCCACAAACAATGTCACAAATGACTGCAGATTAACCCTGCTGTCCAGGCATGCTTTCTAATTCTAATCAAGTACATCACACACCCCAAAGTACCGTAATTTCCGGACTATAGAGCGCACCTCAATATAAGCCGCACCAGCAAAAAAAGGTTTTCTACACACACACGCCCAGGATCCGAAATAAAATTTTTTACTCACCGGCCAAGTTGGCTGGTAGATGATGAAAATCTACCGGCCAAGCATATTTTTTACCGGCCAAAAGTCTAAATGATTTAGATCCACCTAAAGCATGTTATTTTATATTATGTTGATTCCAAACAGAGTGACAAAATAATTAAAACATCAATTAATAAGAAAAACAACTCTTTTGTCATTTTTACTATTTATTTATTTATTTTTAGAGATGTTTTTATGAACTCTTTCATTGAAATCTAGTCAGACTCCTTGTTTTCTCTGTCCATGAAGTCTGGCCTCCTGCTTCTGACACCCTCTTTGTGCCAAAGCATTACAGCCTCATTTGGGTCACAGTCCTTGATCTCTGGAGAACACAGCTGCACCATGAGAATATCTGAAAGTGTCAGGGCTAGGGTTGTCACGGTAACCGGTGTAGCGGTAAACCCCGGTAAAAAAGTTGACAATAATAATAACAGTCTTGTTTAAAAAACAATTATCTCGGTGGATTACCGTGGCTGCGGTGTCGGCGCGGTGACCCTTACCAGCCACCGTATCATCTGCTGAAGTTGCCGGCGGCACATGCGCACTTTGTTGTTTACAACCAAAACTTTCTTGAAGCTAAAGCTGAAATAATGTTTATGTTTATGTGCTTAGCAGACACTTTTACCAAAAGCGACTTACAAATTTTTTTAACCTATAGGGCATGTTGTGATCTGTGGGGGAAACCGGAGTACCCGGAGAAAACCCACGCATGCATGGGGAGAACACGCAACTCCACGCAGAAAGGCCGCAGCCGAGTTTCGAACCTTCGACCTTCGTGTTGCGAGGCAACAGTGCTAGCCACTGCACCACCATGCAGCCCATATAATGGCAGGAGGAGACGGCACTCGGGACATTTACTATCCCTCAAAGAAGACAAAGTCGGAAGTCCGGGCATTTTTTTGGATATTTGAAGAATGCCGAGGGCCAGTTGTCTGTGAAAGGCAGCAACGCTACGTGGCCATCATAATGTAGCCATTGTCTCACGACTCCGCCATCTCCGGTTCGCCACTTTTCACAAAATCTTCTGGTTGCCACTGGTCCTGGTGGTTTTTCTTCCAGTTCAACGAGTTTTATTTTGGAAGGCTGACTGACTCCAGTTAAAAACCGCCACATTTCACCGCTAGTTTTAACACGAAGCTAACTGCTAACTTGATGAACTGATTGAATGGGATAGGTGGAAATGACGTTGGATGCGGCGCTCACGTTTCGCGTACGTTTGTGTACGTTGCATGCAGGCGGGAGGAGTATCAGAAATCCGTGGAAGATGACTGATAAAAATAACTAATTTGGTGCAAACATTTACTCGCCAGGTGGCAGGTAGAGCTAAAAAATTTACTCGCTCGCATTTGGCGAGTGTTAATTTCGGACCCTGCACACGCCGCACTCAAATACAAGCCGGTGCGCAGCAGCCACATGCGGGTCTCCGGCGCACAGCGCACGTACGGCCATAACATAAGATAATTAGACAGAAAGACGCTACACGGAAGTTTTTCGTCGTTGTTTTAATTCAACAAAACGAATTTTAAACACGGGTGAACGTGAAAGTTTAGAAAAGAAAACAGCACTGATAGCATTCATATTTCTGGATGGTTATAAAATAAAAACAGAACTGACACGTTATTACCGGTCATTTGCATGTTTAGAAGAAAAGAACAGCGCTGACACAGCATTAATAAGCCCTGGATGACTAGAAAATAAAAACTGCACACTAAACATGCCTGTTAGTAATGATCTGCACAGCGGAAACAGTGGAAACACCTCGGCCGTCTGCTCTTTGTGTGTTCACCCAGTCTTCAAGAATGTTTTACAATTCCGGCCATCTGCTTTTATTTCCTCTGAAAGCTTTTGTCGTTTTTTTTACATCGAGTTCTTCCCGCTGCCGCCTCCAACGTCGCACCATTGATTTATTTATGCCAAGCTCCCGTGCAGTGACTGTTTCCTTGTTTGATGGCCAGATCGATCGCTTTTAACTTGAAAGCTGCAGCATACCTCCGCGTGTTTTCCATCACGAGGGTGTGTCTGATGTGTAAACGTGCCTGTCTCACTTTACTGCTGGAGAGCGCCTCTAGTGGTTGTTGGCCAACAAAAATCTACACATGAGCCGCAACCATGATATTTGCCGCAGGCTTCAAAGCACAGGGAAATAATAGCGGCGTGTAGGACGGAAATTACGGTGTCCATGAAGTGCTTTTCTGATATGTTTTGTTGCTGGAACTAAAAACGCAACGCAATGCTGCGTGTCCGAGAGCAAATGCTCACCAGATTTGATCAAAACAGCTTAAAATACCAACTGCAGTTGTTTTACTAATCGCTAGACTATGAGGTGTTCATATTTTGTTGAAACTGTAAATATTTGTTAGAAATGATGTCATTTATGCTCGTTTAAATGATTCCATTACACATGGCCTTTCAAGTTTATTTTGATGATTTATTTAAACCTGTGAAGTACAAAAAACCCCTCAAGATCCACGAATGTGGTCTTTTTTTTTGTTTCACAACATTGTTTGGTTTTCAATAAAGTTATGAAACTTAGAATTACGGTTAAAATAATATGTTTAGCTCAAATCCAGCACCTTAAAAGTGATCATGTGTACTTTCCCTGGAGACAGAGGGTAGTACATACCTAAATCGATGCAAGCAAGTGGTATATTTATGTTCGAGTAAAACCTTACCAACGAACGGCCATTAGGGTAACAAAAATCCCTGGAAGCACAGTCTCCAGCAAAATGACGAGCACATCAGACTTCCTTTCATCACTGGCAACGAGTGAAGTGGTAAATGAGTAAAACAACTTTAATGAATGTTGAAAGTTTTATAACCATTTGTTACAAATCAGTGAATGTGTTTTCTCCTCATGGGTTTCCATCCATCCATCCATTCATTCATTCATTTTCATCCGCTTATCCGGAGTCGGGTCGTGGGGGCAGCAGCCTAAGGCGAGAGGCCCAGACTTCCCTCTCCCCAGCCACCTGGGCCAGCTCCTCCGGGGGAATCCCAAGGCGTTCCCTGGCCAGGTGAGAGACATAGTCCCTCCACCGTGTCCTGGGTCTACCTTTAGGTCTCCTCCCGGTTGGACATGCCTGGAAACCCTCACCAGGGAGGCGTCCAGGAGGCATCCTGACCAGATGCCCGAGCCACCTCAACTGGCTCCTCTCGATGTGGAGGAGCAGCGGGTCTACTCCGAGCCCCTCCCGAATGACTGAGCTTCTCCCCCTACCTCTAAGGGAGAGCCCAGCCACTCTTCGGAGAAAATTTTGCCCGCTTGTATCCTCAATCTCGTTCTTTCAGTCACTACCCAAAGCTCATGACCATAGGTGAGGGTAGGAACTAGAGCTGACGAAAATAATCAAATAATCGATGCATGGGGATGCGGACATAAAAGATTCTGCATCGTAGAAGAGGACGCCATAATCGATTATAGTGGAATGTAGTTTTGTTTTTTTTTAACGGCGGCTCCAGCGCAGCATCCAAATCTGTCAGAGCCAGCGTCCTCCACATTTACCAAGTGGTTCCGCCTTTATGTGGTCCTGCAGGGCTGAGCGCTAGAGTTGTAACCTGAGATCGAACTGGAACCGGATCAGCCCGACCGGTTCTGTTGGATTTGGGCCGTGAATTAAGTTAATTGAGCGGGTTGTCATGCGGCGCGCTTCGCTCGCTCGATATGAGAGAGTGAGAGACTGTCTGCTCACACAAGAGAGAGGATCGGCGGACGCTCCTCCAAACACGCATTATTATTTTCATAATTTAATTATTGTTTCTCCTGGAAGCACTCTGTCAGACCGAGTGTTGTAATGTAGGGAGATCCGGTCTTGGGGAGGGGGCGGGGTCAGTGACGGCGGCTGCAGCGTGATCGTCTGTCTCTTATTTAGGGACACGGAGAAGTTAAAAGGAGAGAGAAATAGAAGATAGAAGTTCTTGTTCCACTTTATTCTTTTGTTTCATGAAGATAAACTGATGTTAAATTCAGCTTAAAGAGAAACTGTTTTCCCTCACTCGTGAACAAGACCCCGTGATACTTAACTCCTCCACTTGGGGCAGGACCTCATCTCTGACCCGGAGAAGGTATTCTACCCTTTTCCGAATCAAGACCATGGTCTCAGATTTAGAGGAGCTGATTCTCATCCCAGCTGCTTCACACTCGGCTGCGAACCGCTCCAGCGAACTATCACGTTCTGATGAAGCCAACAGGACCACATCATCTGCAAAAAGCAGAGACCTGATCCTCAGGCCACCAAAACGGATGCCTCCACACCTTGGTTGCGCCTAGAAATCCTGTCCATAAAGGTTATGAACAAAATCGGTGACAAAGGGCAGCCTTGGCGGAGCCCAACTCTCACTGGGAACGAGCCCGACTTACTGCCGGCAATGCGGACCAAGCTCTGACACCGGTCATACAGGGACCTAACAGCCCGTATCAGAGGGCCTGGTACCCCATACTCCCGGAGTATCCCCCACAGGGCCCCCCAAGGGACGTGGTCAAATGCCTTCTCCGAATCCACAAAACACATGTAGACTGGTTGGGCGAATTCCCACGTACCCACCAGGATCCCCCTAAGGGTACAGATCTGGTCCAGTGTTCCACGGCCAGGACGAAAACCACATTGCTCCTCCTGAATCTGAGGTTCAACAATCCAACAGACCCTCCTCTCCAGAACCCCTGAATAGACCTTACCAGGAAGGCTCAGGAGTGTGATCCCACTGTAGTTGGAACACACCCTGTGGTCCCCCTTTTTGAATAAGGGGACCACCACCCCAGTCTGTCAGTCCAGAAGACAACATGGCGTGACTAATATGGGGTCGCCGAGAGACTTAGACCCACTTCTATATAATTTAGATCTGATTTTTGTGGTTATGTTACAAAGTCGCCAATATTTTTTCAACAGCTGGGCATCATTTAACTCATTTAACAAAAATTCGATGGTTATTTCTAGAGATTAATGGTAAAAACAACACATCTTTTTAAATAATGAACATTTTTTTGGACTGTCAAGCAGACTGAAACACAGTCTGAACAGTCATGAGTAGTCTTACCTGTGAAGGCGTGTCCGTTTCATTGATAGGCTGACCATCAAACCGAAATCTTATTTGCCTCATGGACAGTCCCTGCCATGACAGAAAGGAGAGGTAATGAAGCCTATGATGTAACTAAGAGACAAAAATGACCGAGTAGTGGTCTCACTTGTCGTTCACAATAAGCCTTCATCAGTTTGCTAAGAGGAGTGTGCCTTTTGATTTTGAACTGCACCACAGAGCCATCCTGGCCCGCCACCTTCAGGTTGATGTGCTCATTGTTCTCCGTCTTAACTCCCTCCTGAAAAAAAAGCAGATATTTGGTCAGTCATGTTGCTTTCAGACAAGAAAAATCAAAACTCATCTGCTGCGGTCTGCCCTCCTGCCCAGTCGATGTGAATGAAGATTTGCAAACCTCGTGCAGAAAGGAGCGACGTAAACTCCGCACGTTAGCTTTAGCATTTTAGCAACAATGGCCTACAGCTCAGAGGGATGTGTGGAGAATGTTAACCCTCCAGGAACTATTAACGCCATACTTTATCCAGAAGGATGTGCGGTGAGTTGTCCAACTGGCCTACTAAGAGCTCATACATATACCTGAGGGTTTAATTTAACTGGTTTATTTTGGCCTGGCCGGCGTCTTTACGATTCATTAGCTTCATTTTTACGACGTTTGGGTATGCAATAACAAATTAATAACTCCCAGCGCATCCTTCACAATAACAGCTACACTCTAAATGTGTGAAGGAAATATGCACACAGACTATAATGCATTTACGCATTTTCTTTTATTCTGTCCAGAGCTCAGGAACATTAGCCGAGTTAGCTTCTTCTGTTATTTTACCGGCTACCTAGCTAACTAACGCGGTAGCACGGCGGTTGAACAGAAGAATGCTTCGAGTCGAGAAGCTGCCAAAACACGTCACACAATCACCCTTACGGTGTAACATGTATGTTTGGCGCGAATAAAACGATAAATAGTCAAAACAATCAGAAACACTCCCTTCTTACCTTGGGTTTCTCGTCTGCCATTGCTGCTGTTACTGCGGCTACTAGCTAGTCTGCTGCGCATGCGCCATCAAGTGCGTCACTTTCAAACTTGTCAGGGTCAGATAAGGAAGTTATTTTCAGATTTTGAGGTCGCAAGAATTCGTTTTCCTCAGTTTAGTAAACCGCGCACACGGACTCACAATCAGTTGCTGTGCCAGACGAGGCCGAAGTTATTCCAGACAGGCGCTGCTTCCTCTGAGTCAGGAGCGCACAGACTGCGCGGATCCAGTGCTGCTGCACAGTGAACTTATGCTGTGAAAAATTACAGATGTGGGTCGTTACGTTATTCAGTCTGCACATAACAGAAATTGCAACGCTTGTTGACTTCAGTACACACCGTTTAATATATTTACTTCAAAGTCAATTCTTAGAAAAACTGTTTAAAAAGCGCTCAATTTCAGCTTCTTCAGGCCTCAGTGAGCAGGTCAAAGGTCAGGGTTCTGGTAATAACAGACAATTAGAAAACAACCGAACAGATTTGTCTTGCTAGGCAGGCTAGTTTGAGAACGCCTCTTTTTCCAAAAAGGACATATCGCAAATCCTCTAATATTGGCCTGTATTCAATTAACGGCTGGGTATCATATTTTGGCCGGTGTCTGAGTCGGCAGAGGTGAATAATGGCCGGTATTTTATTGTGGCCGGGTGGAATGTGGTAACAAGCAAGTACCACGGGGGGGTGGGGGGGTGGGGGGGGGGGGGGGTGGGGTCATCCGTCTCACCTTTGATTTGCCAGTGACAGACCGCGATTTGGCAGGTGCGGAGACGAAGAGGAGGCGAACATTTGATATCAAGTTCAAAGAGAATGTGCGCTGCAGAACACTCTGGGGAGCAATGGGGTTGTATGAACTAGTCGACTTCACTATAGTGACTTTTTATGCCTGTCATCGACTAGTCGCTGTCACGTGATAATGACCGGCAAGATGCAGCCCTCGGAAAAGACAGCAGCCTGCTGTCAGCAGGTGACAAGCTCCTGCGCTCGGGGAGGGGGCAACGCGCTGTGCCAGAGCGTCGGTACTGACGCCCGCCGTAAAATGGACATTTAACCAAATTGTGACCTTTTCCCTCTTGCAATTTAACCTTCCCCTCACCCCCATCCTAACCTCATATTAACCAGCTTGTGCATGCAAAGCTCTGATCGTTGACACGCTCCAGACATCTGCGTCCTGAGCACAGCCACAGTAACGTTATCAAATCAGGTGTCGCCACCTCAAAAACCAATTTAACACGCAATCGTTCATGTCGGCTCATTTCCTTTAATGTTTTCTGTCTTTTACTTGTGCCTGATGCGTTTCGCTGCTGTGGAGCGGGGCGCATCACCTTGTCCTCTGGTGACGCACCGATCACTGATGCGGCCGCCAAGCAGCGAGCACTCCCCAGTTTTAGCGGTCGGTAGATCTTTTAGAACTGCAGTTCAAAGGTAACTCATAAGGTGAATATATATGAAGCCAGGTAGCAGTTTTTCTTTAGGATTGAGAGGAGATGCAGGAAGATAATAAACAGGCAGGACAGAAAAATAGTCAAATAAAAACAAGTTAGTTTTTGTACCTGCTGGTTGCAACAAACAGACACCATTGAAGGTAATCAGAAGTGAGGAACAGAAAATGAAATCATTATTTTAATGTTTAGAGCAGCAGGAACTCCGAGAGGCTGCAGGCACATCAGTGAGTTTGCGGCCACTGCGCAGGGGGAGGGGGGAGAGGGCTGAAGCAGAAACTACCGTTGTTAAAAGAAATGTGTTTAACTTTGAAAATGTGGGCGCGGTTTTAATTGTCAAAAACTCCAGCGAACCATTAGTTCATTTTGCTCAAATAGAAATAGAGGCCTGCCTCTAATACTGGCCCTCCTTCCAATAAAGGCCTGGAGCTTGATGAGCTTGAGTCAAATACAGGCCTGGGGCCTGTGTTAGAGGATTTACGGTAAATATTTACATTTTAAAACTGAACAAATCACAACACATCTGGATCAATGTTTGTAAACAAACAGATCTTAAAGACAATAAAGCACAGAGTTGAAAACTAAAATCAATGAGAACCTCAATAAAGTCTGGTCCGTTTGACTATCAAAAACACTTGTCACGATTTTTTTAAAACCTGTGAGGTATGATTAATGCAAATATTTCGGTGGCTTATAGGTGATCTAACAAAAAGACATTATACGCCAGATTTATATTTGGAAATTCAAAAAAATGTTAGAAGTTTGGAGCTAAATTTAAGATTTATTTCCTGAGAACATTTTAAACCCAGATATTAGAAGTATCCAGGCTGTTTGAATGAAAACATGTTATTACAACTGAACGAGAGCAAATATCTGCAAAAAAACATTAAATGGAAGCTGACTCAACGCGTGAGCTTGACTGTATATTAATGTGTGGGATTGTAAATGTGTGAGGGCACTAAATACTACTTCAGCCATCCAGTCGCAGGCCTACGTTAGCCAACGATTAGGTGTGATGTTTACTGCTGTCGACAAAGGCTCTTTACATTTGGACTAATTATGACTGAAGCAGCATGAAAACAAGACGAGACGTGTGAGAAGTGTAGTACAAATAGAGTCATCTCCTTTATTTCCCCATGCACACTAATAGCTTTTCAAAAATATGCCATGACATTTTAATCACCTCAAAAGCATAAATACTTCATTCATAACAATTATGCAGTGTTTCACTTAACACCAATAACTCATAAAAGACAATAATAAATGAAAACATTACCACTTATGTCATTTATTGTTTCGCAGTGTAAACAAAACCATTTTTGTTTTCACTTTAATTAAACTCCCACACTAGTAAAGCATTTAAACTACCACTATAGTTCAGTTTCCAGGTCATTTAACACCAGATGTACAATATGTAACATGTTATTTACCATAGTACTCGTCAGCAGCTCGGGTTAAACAAATAAGCACTATTGTCTCCGGCACAGTGCTTTTAATTTGCAGATATTTCAAAATTAAAAATGCTTGTAATACATGTAGCAGATCAGGATTCACACCAGAGTGGTCTAATAATGTAGCAGAACTTCACACATCTGATCATGTCGTACGTTTAAGCGTCCATATTTAGAGGTTTATCCAGAAGGAAAACAGCAATAATGCTCAACAAATATTTTTCTCAAACAACAGGACAATACTGAAACTCGTGATAAAACAGTGCTAAGTAAAGTAACTCCACAAGTACTCAGGAGTAACCAGAGCAGGAAGATCAGACGTAAGCCGACTCCGACGGGGCGCTGGCGGAGCAACGGCTAGGATTTTTATGTTTTAAATGCATCAACAGCAGGACATCAACAGGGTCATTAGATATCGGTTTGTGCATAAATACCGTAAATCCTCTAATACAGGCCCGGGCCTGTATTAGAGGATTTACGGTATTATAAATAACTAGAACATTTATAGATAGCTTCCTCAACAGCCTGTCTGGAGAAATATACGTCCAATGTGGCTGATAAGCCAACAGCCGCCGATTTAAACCAGCTCCAACACCCCAGCAGTTAATGCAGCTTTATGCTATAAAGATTTATATTCTCTTTCTGTATTTCATGGATATTTATGAGCGTACGCGTCAGACCAAACAAAGGCCACTCAGTCAGGAAGCTTTTACATCAGTTTAACATGATTATCAGCTTTTGGTCTCATATTTATACAACTGCACCTAAAGGTGCCGTTTGTCTTGTGAGGTAATCTGCTCCAAACAGCTCAAATGGGACAAAATCTCAAAGAAACAATAAAATGGAAGCAAAGTAATGCATTAAGAGTTAGAACTTAATAATAACTTACGTTAACAACATACCGTCATCACACTTAACCAGTTCACATGAACTTGTTTCTGCGTTTCACTGCTCTGAGGGAGACTACTTCTTCATTGGCCCACGGTAAACATCAAGAGTCAAACCTTCCACGTGACTTTCCCTTTCCTGTTCCAGATGTAAAGAGAGCTAAAGAGCCCCCCAGCGATCTGCAGGAGGGAACTCGTTCACCTCCCCCACCTCTGTGAACGGCTGCTCTCCCAGCGTGAACGTCAGTTTGTATCTCATCCGAACCTTTTCCTGGAAAACAAATAAACAGGCTCAAAGTCACAGCTTCCATTAGGAGCACTGGAACACATCATGTGTCTGACCCAAAACAGGGTTCAGAGAGATGGCTTCAACCCCAGAGGAGGAAAACAAGAGTCTAGTCAGTAAACACCATCCTGGATGGATGCGAGACTGAGAGGTACCTTGAGAGGATTGGCCAGCAGCATGATCTGAGTGATGGCAGCAGGAGGAAGAATGGGATTAAAAGGAGCCAGCTCTGTCCCAGAGGGCGGCTGCAGCTTCACCTTCATTGTCTAGAGATGAAGAAGAAGCGTCTTTGTGGTGAAAAACTAAATTTATAGTTTTAAAACCTGGGCCCAAACCAATGAGAAAGGTGTATCACAGGCTTTACCCTGCGGACCGCAGCCTGCAGAACGATATTCCTTACAGGTAGCGGGGCCGTGTTGAGCATAGACGCCACCATCACCAGAACATCAGGCCTGCCTGGAGGACAATCGGTCGCAAAGTGGAGCAGAACACGAACACCGTTTCTGTCATACGCCGTCACAGGTAGGACGGTACCTAAAATAGCACAGACCAGAGAAAACAAGGGAAGGTTAGGAGAGGCCTGGTGTCAAAATGAGTTCAGTCATTTTTCCACGGGCCTTGTGTCTGACACGTGTGCTTTAGAGTCAGAATTTACCTCTGGAGAACATAGGGATGTACGTAGTTAACCGGTTAATTGCCGTTAATGTTTTAACCGGGTAAACTAGTTTTTTCCCAGTTAACTGCTTCAAGTCCTTCTGCTGCGCTGGGAGCAATATATTTTGTGCCACCAGTGGGCGCAAGAGCGCCACTATCAAATACGTTTACTGGGCGACCGCAGAAGAGGAAATGAGCTCGTCACATGACCAAACAAACGTGCTCAAACACAAAGCGGTTAACAACAAGGCAGCATTGGATCAGTTTGTTCTTAATTATTTCATTCTTGGAACACAATAAGCCTCACATCAAAACGCAGAGCCTGGCAGAACACAACGCAGCAAACTGAACCGAGACCAGCAACAGGTCAGTGTGCCGTGACGCTCCTTGTGTCTGAATCCTAATTTGTCTAGTAAAATAAAGAAATGTCAGCGTAATTATTTAGTTCAATGTAAGAAATATGTTTTTTATGGCCTCCAGAGCATTCTGGAGGCCATAAGTGATGAGTGATAATGTGAAGTTTCAGCCAAAAAATCTCATTAATCATTATTAACAAGTGCAGCTCAACACTCAGGAAGGCAATAGGGTGGCATGTGCATTCCTTTAGAGCAGGGATTCCCAAAGTGTGCACCCCTGGGGGGGTGCCGCTTGGGGGTGCGCGAGGTGAAAAGTGTAATGGCTGCGGAGCTCAGAGAAGTCTGTCATATGTCACCATTAGCGTAGAAACTCATTTGTGGGTGGGCCAAAGAAAAAGTAAGTGGGCACAATAAATGTAATTGAAAACAAGTATATTTTTGCACGCGCGTGTGTCCTCCACATGTGCCCTAGCTTCATAATAACAATGCGTCGAGCTTCAGCGCTCTGGCCTGCGCACGCTGATATGTTCCGTATTTGATCATTTTTAACGGTGTTGGAGGAATCTGAAGGTGGCGAGTCATTCTGGCAGATTGTAATTAACACCTGTCTCATGCAGGTGTTCTGACATTGTAAACCTCACACACAGAACATTGTGGATGTAACTAAATAACAAGAAATGATTCCCATTCAGGCTATTGACAGCGCGCTGAAGATCTGAAGTTCAGAGTGCGTCTGTCAGAGGTCAGACGCGTTCCGGCTGAACCACGGCTCACGGGTGCACAAGTGAGCACATCTGGGCTGGGCAGAAGTCATTTTACAACATTGGTTTAAATAGCGCCAATAACGAGACGTGGTGGCTGGAGCGGCTGTGCCGTGCGCGCACACACACACACACAGATTCAATAAGCGCACACGCTGCTTTACCTCCGGCGCGCCGTCAGACTGAAGGCAGAAATGAACGCTGCCTCCACCGTGATAACAACTTTTAAGAGATTATTTTTCATTCAAGGTCAAATTAAGATATTAGCTTCTGGGATGAGTCGGTCCGCTCCAGCCAGTGACTCCTCATGAACCTGACCACAAGTCCTGTTACTGCAGCATTTGTCATTCCAGTCCGCATGACAGCGGATCGCAGATTCAGCCACACCATAAAACAGCAATAAGTCGGTCTGAGGTAAAAGTGAACATCATGGCTATATCTTGTCCCCTATAGACATTTGATTACGCACAAGTAGGTGATCAGCTCAGGTTTACGCAGAGCAGAAGGAAGGAGAGCGCTCTGGCCGCACAGGTTAAACGTTCCTACTTTAAGAAAACCGTTAAACTGCATTGTTTATGTGCTACCTGGGCACTCTAAATATTTATTTAAAATTAAATCAAAGGAAATTGTAATGGTATCGAATGTTTATTAATTACTATTTAAAAAATGAAAGTGATGGGGAATTTTTTTAACCCTCTCTGTTTAGCTTGACATCTGATATATATATATATATAGCCATGCCCCGATGTGGGGGCTGGGGGGGGGTGCATCGACATGGTCGGGACATAGAAGGGGGTAAGCGGCTAAATAAGTTTGGGAACCACTGCATTAGAGCAGTGGTTCCCAACGTTTTTCCCAAGGGACCCCTTTTTTTTTTACCAGTAAAATTTTTGACGACCCCCTCCCATTCTCTCTTCCAGTACAAACATTATTAAGAAATGATAAAATTGTTCAAGCACATTTTAATATGCTTTGATTCAATAGATAACAGTAACAGTAGGCTCCAGTACACCACCAAACTTTAATTTTACTTATTCAATAAGAAATGGAAAAAAGGGAGGCGGAACTGCTCTTATAAGCTCTTCCACACTTTCCGCAAAACATGTTTTATTCGATAACTACACCACATTCGAATATTGTGCAGCCATTTTCAGCGATCTTCAGATTTTATGTGTTACTCTTTATAGGCCTCCGGGGCACAGTGCACTTTTTATACAGGAATTTTCCGAGTTTTTATCAATTGTGTGCACAACTCTTTTGATAGTATTATTTTAGCTGGTGATTTTAATTTACACATAGATGACCCTGCAGACCCTTTTACCACTGAATTTTTAAACATTTTGAGTTATATGGATTTTACACAACATGTTGCACAACCAACCCACGACAGAGGACACACCCTGGACTTGGTCATCACGTATGGTCTGTCCACCGGTGTGTCCTCTGTCGTGGATTTAGCGATCTCAGATCATTTCTGTGTGTTTTTTAGCATTACCAGCATAATTCAGCAGGAGACCTCTGTGAGAACTGTAATGAAACGCCATCTAACCCCTGAAGTGGCTGCTGGTTTTCTGGAAACTTTTAAAAAGATCCCTCCTATTAATTTAAATGCCCCCTGTGATTTTATCTTTAATGATTTTAACAGTAGACTTAAATCTACTCTGGATTTGCTCGCTCCACCTAAGATTAAAAAACTGCAGCCAAAACCGGCTTCCCCTTGGAGCAATGAAAACTTAAAAATGTTGAAGAGATCTTGCAGGGCGGCAGAGAGAAAATGGAGGAAATATGAGAACACAATTAATAAACAAATATACACGGAATTATTAAAATCATACAACAAAGCAGTTAGAAATTCCAGAAATAATTACTTTTCTAAAATCATCTCGGAACACAAAAATAATCCCAAAATTCTGTTTTCTACAGTCACAAATATTTTGGGTCGTGAATTTAGTTCTCTCCAGAAAACCCCCTCGGACGCTCTCTGTGAGGAGTTTGCAGCCCACTTCAGAGGGAAGGTAGACACCATCAGACGTAACATTTTATCCTCCCAATGTCATGCTGCTCCCGATCAATCTGAGCGTGTGTGTCTACCTGAGGAAACACTGGACAGTTTTGTCTTGGTTGAAGTTGAGACTATTGATAAAGTTTTCTCCTCAGTGAGGCCTACCACGTGTGTTCTGGACCCGATCCCCACAAGGTTTTTTAAACAATTTTATGACTCTTTTAGAGATGAGATTTTAACTTTGATGAACTGTTCCCTTCAGACGGGGGTCTTTCCTGCTGCTTTTAAACGGGCGGTGGTCAGACCCCTGTTGAAGAAGAGCAATTTAGATTTTAATGACTTAAACAATTTTCGTCCGGTATCCAACTTACCATTTTTAAGCAAAATTTTAGAGAATCTTGTTTTAATACAACTTAATGATTTCATCAACCACCAACATGTCCTAGAGAAATTTCAGTCTGGTTTTAGGGTGAACCACAGCACTGAGACGGCCCTTCTGAAGATTTTAAATGATTTTAGAACAAATTATGATGCTCGGAGGGCAACAGTGTTGGTTCTGCTGGATCTAAGTGCTGCCTTTGATACAGTAGACCACACTGTTCTTTTAACCCGTTTAAAACAGATCGGCCTCTCTGGTGCTGTTCACAGTTGGTTTACTTCCTACCTCACAGACAGGACTTTTATGGTGAGTCTGGATACCTGTTCCTCTGGGGTCCACAGCATCACATGCGGGGTGCCTCAGGGATCAATTCTAGGCCCAGTGCTTTTTAACCTCTATATGCTCCCTCTGGGCAGCGTCATCAGGAGACACAGGGTGAATTTCCACAGTTACGCTGATGATACACAGTTGTACATCTCCGTGTCTCCTGATGACGCACAGCCAATGGAAACACTTTTTAATTGCATTTTAGATATTAAATCATGGATGACTGAAAACTTTCTCCAGCTCAACCAAGGCAAAACTGAAGTTTTAGTCATCGGTCCTGAGACCCAGAGAGAGAAACTTTTACCTAAACTACAGTCAATGCCTTTTTATCCATCACTACAAGTGAAGAATCTGGGCGTTATTTTCGACTCTGAGCTGACTTTTATCCCACACATTAAAAACATCACAAAAATAGGTTTTTACCATCTTAAGAATATCGCCAGAGTTCGACCCATTCTCTCTCGGGCCAATACGGAGACGCTAGTGCACGCTTTTATAACCAGTAGAATTGATTACTGCAATGCCCTGCTTTCTGGTCTTCCCAAAAAGAGCATCTCAGGTTTACAACTTTTACAAAACTCAGCAGCACGTGTCCTGATGAAGACCAGGAAGCGGGAGCACATCACTCCGGTTTTAAAATCACTGCACTGGCTCCCCGTATGTTTCAGGATTGATTTTAAGGTTATTTTAATGGTTCTTAAGTGTCTTAATGGTCTTGGGCCTTCTTATCTTTCAGAACTGCTTTTACTGTATAAACCCTCGCGGTCTCTGCGCTCCTCTGGCAGCCGTTTCCTAGTTATCCCTAAAGTTAAGACTCACACCCACGGCGAGGCGTACTTCAAGTACTACGGCCCTCGCCTTTGGAACGGGCTGCCGGAGGACCTCAGGTCCGAAGGGAACATCCAGGCTTTTAAGAATAGGCTCAAGACTCACCTTTTTAGCTTAGCTTTTAACTGATCACTATTTATCTATAAATGCATATTTATCTCTTTTATTATTTTTATCATTTTATCTACATCTTAGTGTTTTTACATGATTATGTTTTCTTTTACTATCTTTATAATCACTTTTTATCAGTTACTTTTTATCATTATTAGCTTTTATTATTTTATATGTTATATATCTTAAATCCTCCAGTGTTTCCTCTGCGGAGCCCTCTGCCTTGGGGCCAGTGGTCAGGGGCGGCGGCGGCCGGGGCGCTCCCCGGGTAGTGCCCGGGCACTGGTGGGGGTTTCTGCCGTACGCCACTGGGCGTCATGGGCCGGTGTCTTGGCTGCTGCCGTGGATCTGTTGCTGCCAGGGCAGATGGCTCCGCTGATGATGTGTCGTTCATTACCTGACCCATCTGAACTCAGCCTATTGTTTCCTCTGGTGTTCACGAGTGTGTGTGTGTGTGCGTGTGTGTGTGTGTGTGTGTGTGTGTGTGTGCATGGACGAGTGTGCGGGTGATTGTATGTCCACTTTGGAAGTTGGGTGCGGGAGGGGAACTGTAATTTTTAATTGTTTTATACTTGGGGAGGGGGGCTGGGATGGGAATGTGGGATCTACGGGGCCATTTTAATCTGTAAAGCACTTTGAGTTGCATTTTTGGTATGAAAAGTGCTGTATAAATAAAGTTGATTTGATTTGATTTGAGAACAAAGTCATTAACAAAACCAAACAGAGCATAATGTGCTTGACAGTTTGTATTACTTTTCTGAACACATTGTTTCTTGTAAACACTGATAATTCAATCATTCCTTTCAATAAACGTTTGACGCATAAAAAATACACTGAGCAAAATGTACTTAAATGTGTATATAGTAATCCCTCGCTACTTCGCGGTTCGTTCATCGCGGATTCGCTGCTTCGCGGATTTTTTTTTTGGAGCATTTTTCAGGGGGAATTCGCAGATTCGCAGTATTTTTCTATGTGAAATATCAAGAAATTCTTGTTTTTTTTTCATCAATTTCATCATAAAATGCACTTTTTGTAATAAAACTAAAAAAAAATAAGTAAAAAAAAATTTTTTTCTTGAGTTTTACCCACAAAAAGAGAATGTGATCATACAATAATTCAATATAGTACTGTATGTCAGACTGGTCGGCTGGATTCGGGAGTTGAGCTTGTAGGGAGCGTGGTTTCACAAACGCGGAAGTGAGAGCGTCGGTGAAACGCCGGCTGATCTAGGAAACCCCCGAGCGTTCGAGCGTCAACGAAGTGACACGGAAATGCCGGGCTTTCCAGAAGTAAGTAAGATAACTTACTATGAGCTGATAGTTCGTTGGATTGATCGGTAGGTTGGAAACTCTGATCATGAATCTGAAGAAACGATGACTGAGTGGTGAGCTGGAAAGGCGACTTCCGTTTATAGCCGCGGTTTGTGACGTAGGTGCGACGTGGAGGGAATCCCCGCGAGGGGCATGCTGGGAGTCCCTACTTCGCGGATTTTCACCTATCGCGGCCAGGTCTGGAACGCATCTACCGCAATAAACGAGGGATTACTGTACTACTGTTTATACTAGATTATTTACTGTAAAGGCTGTGATTAATCAACCAGTCCTATCTTTAATGAACTTTTGACACTTGAAAAGAAAACAGTGAGCTGAGCAAAATGTTCTTAAAAGTGTGTTACTTTTTCTGTACTAATTATTTCCTGTCTTAATACCAGCAAACTTTTCACTCATGAAAAAAAGTGAGCAAAATGTAGGCTATAAACAAGTAATAAATGAAGTTTTAACCCCTTAAAGTGGAGAGGTCCTGGCGACCCACTGAGAGGCTTTGGCGCCCCCTTGTGGGGGTCGGGACCCCTAGGTTAGGAACCACTGCTTTAGGGAATCATGGGCCTTAAATCATACATCTGGTACTTCAAATAAACTTCATCAAAACTAAGAAAACACATTAGAGTATAAAGATAAATCACTAGGTTGTTTCCGGTCACTCACTTGGTTTAATGGCCTCCAAAGGGACAAAAACATTAGCCAGGGACACCTCCTCTCCCCTGCTTGGACTTGCTTGGCTCATGGGGAAGATCGGGGACAGGGAGCGTAGCAGAGGGCTGTCCTCTGAGAGACTCTTAGTGGATGGAGGAGTAGACCATCCTTGTATTCCTGCTGTTCTTATGGAGGCAGATGAGATGGAGGTCCCACCCAGACTGGAAGAGAGCAGCAGGAGCATTCAGACCATTCCTCTGAGGACAAGTGTGTCCACTCACTGATATCTTGAAGACTTTTGAGTTCCAGTTGGCCATCACATTAAGCTACCAAGCATGGTTAAAAATGGTACTTTACCTTTAATTCAAGTGTACAAGCTTTAAAAAAAATCATCTGACGTGGTGCACAAAGGCTGCGTCTAGCAGCAGACGTCACAACTGCTTAGTTCTTATCTTGTCTATCATCTAGCCTCGCTACAGTGCAGATGCTTCTCTGCTTCACTCCTGCTTGATTACATTTCTTCTCCTCTTTTCACTTTATTTTATTTTCCTTTCTCACTGAGATTGCCGTTTTCCTACCAGAGTTTCTACTCCGTAACTACTGGACTCTTTTAAATCGCTGGGATCTTCTTTAATCAACAGGTGAGTCTACAACGATATTTTTTTACCACAACCTTGATCTACAGGGACTGTGACCAGCTGGAACCTCCTACCAGATTTACAGCAACATGATGCCTTCCTTTTCCTCAGAAGACTTCCAAAAAATACTTTTCCAGGTGACCACAGTTCTCAAAACTAGACGTCAACTGGGAAGTAAACGGATTGATTGGAAATGCGATACCCTCTCATCTGCTCAGCTCGCCGAACAAGCGGATGGTAGCACACAGCCAGTAAGCAACAATGCTCCGACAAAGAGGTCAGAAAGATCTCTGCCTCTTGATAACTCTGAGCAGTCCTCCTTGGATCACTCGTGGAGCCAAGCCAAAGAGTAAAGCAGGTCCCTGGGGAGCAAGAGGTGGACAACCTGCTTCAACCGCAGCCTCACAACAAGAGGTCACTTCACATCACATGTCAGTGTGTGTGGCAACTAATGGGACTTTATACTTTATACACTTTTTTATTCAGACCTGAGCTTCACAGGTCAAATTAAGGCTATAACTAGATCAGTGTTTTATCATCTTCATCAAATAGCACGACTCAGGGGTTTCATGTCCAGACACGACCTCGATAAACTCGTTCATCTATTCATCTTCAGCAGGCTGGACTATTGCAGTGGTCTTTTGGAAAGCAACTGCAGCTTATTCAGAATGCTGCTGCTAGAGTCTTAAGAGAAATGAGAGCGGAGCACATCACTCCTGTTCTTAAATATCTACTCTGGTTACCAGTAAACTACAGAATGGATTTCAAAGTAGGGTTGTCACGATACTAAAATTTCAAACTCGATTCGATACTTGAAAAAAAACTCGATACTCGATTTCGATGCTATTTGAAAACACCAATTTATTGAACAAGTTTATTCAAAAAATAACATTCCTCAATTTATATTGCAAAAATTAAATGTTAAGAATTAAGTGTATAAAGTGCTTAAACCTTTCAAGTATCAGCATTTTTTAAAACGTGCATACAAAAACTGGTGAAAGTTAACACTTTAAATCATGAATTGTCTCACTATATATACACTATTTGCAGAGTGATGTTTTGCTGCTTAAACTCTGTTTAAGGTGCATTTTTGTCATAAGATGTAAGGCCATATGTTTTGTTCTGTACTTTTGAACAACTCTGTTGGTCAAGAAAGGGAGAAAACGATTTTCTCCACAGTAGGACAAAGGTACATCTACCGGTAGCGCCGGTTAGATTAGCCGCGGCTAGTCTGTTTACGCCTAGAAATCCCAGACCCGCTCCAAACGAACAGGGGAATCACGTTAATGATTCCTAACAAAACCTTTCGACATTGAGATGTTTTGGTGCAGATAATGTCTTATTTCGAGGCTGCACCATGGGTGCCCGTCCGCACCCGTTATATGGATATACGCTGATGGCGATTCGCCGATGGATCTAAATACCCCGGGGAATACAAGTAGCACCAAAGTTGTCAGTGTGAGTAAACACACGTACTGCATGCTAGAAATTAAGTCCGGGCTGCAATAAACGGGAGTTTCCTTTAAGCACATAAGCGTGAATATACAACTACGTGTCGGACTTGGTATGCTAATTAAGTTGGGCTGTGAAGTGCCTCCCAAATTCGCTGTTTATGTTTTTGTTTATTTATTTGGCAGACAAAACTTGGATCGGAGACAACTCGCGTGGGAAATTGCAATGTAGCCATGCGGCGTCTTCTTCTGTTTGTCTGGGAGGCGGAGGCTGCTTTACGGCATCTGGCTGTCGTGCGTGTCGGTGTACGTGAAGAAGGCTGTGTATAATAGTCCTTAATATCGATACCACAGGGATGGAATATCTCATTTAGATACCACTTTTAGTATCGATTTATATCTAGGTATCGATTTTTTTGACAACACTATTTCAAAGTGCTACTACTAGTTTATAAACAACTCAATGGCATGGGGCCAGAATACATGAAAGATCTCCTTCAGGTGTATACACCCAGCAGGGCTCTGAGATCCTTAGGAAACAGTCAGCTGATAGAACCTCGGGTCAGAACCAAACAGGGTGAAGCTGCTTTCAGCTACTATGCTGCACACAGATGGAATCAGCTTCCTCGTGATTTCAAATGTGCCCCGACTCTAGAAACTTTGAAACCAAAATAGAAAACCTTCATGTTTTCATCAGCCTTTCAATTACTATTCTTGTGCCGCACCTTCTGCACTGCATTCGCTCACCTTTTGACTTTTTTCCTTCTTTTTGTTTCAGTTTTTACATCGTCATTTCTGTCATGTCGATTTTAATGTTCTGGCTGTTCTTGCTGCTGGAAAGCACACTGAATTGCCTCTGTGTATGAAATGCGCTATATAAATAAAGTTGGCTTGCCTATAATACGATTTATCTTTCAGAGTGATTCAGACCCATCATCCTGTTGAACACACAAGCTCAACATGCACTCACATAAGAACTACTGCCTGAAACACCTACCTGTCATTACTGCCCAGATCCAGCATGGCCAGGTCTTGTAAATTGTGGCTGAGAGAAGATGATGCTGGGTGGAAGACTCCAGGTAAGGAGACATTCTGACGGGCAGCCAAGAGAGCGGGTGATTCGCTAAGTGAAGGCGTGAGAGCAGCTGGAGCCATGGAACCGAGAGGTTGTGGGAATTTGACTAATAAAGAGTCAGAAGCTGTAGAAACGGGAGGTGTGGAGAAGACAGAGCCTGGAAAACTTGAAGATGTGGTAGCTTTGTTGGGACTGGCTGAGACCATCGCTGTAGAAAGGGACTCTTGAAAAAGTGGAGGTGTCGAAGGTGCATGAAGTGAAGGCAAACTGTTGTCAAAAATGTCCAAACCGTGGCTGGAGCTCTGGATTAATAATAAAAAAAATCTGTTATTAAACACAAATATGAACGTAAAGAACCAAAGAACACAGAAAGTCCACCTTCTTATGTAGAAAAACACAAAAACAGATTCCATCATGTGGTTAAAAAATAAAGAAAATTAAAACAGAAAAGCCGCGTGATCCTTATGACCTTTAAAAGCAACAACTTGTTAGACTTTCAGTCTCTGACATGTTTCTGGAGTAATTTTGGCATCTTTACAAAGTTGTCCCAACTAATAGGGAGCCTGAGTCACGCTTTACTTCCACACCACGGGTCCCCGGAAGAACGAAACAATTAATGCAAGTCAACGGGACTAAAAACGCCATTTTCTAACTCCGCTTGTTTTGTGCCATGGATTTCACATATGATGTCCGTGAATTCTAAAGAAGCATTTTGATACCAAGAACGTGCTTCATTTCAAACAGGGGGAAATGTAATTTTAGGTTTTGTGTGAAAATAAGTCCAGGACTACAAATCCGCATCACCAATTCATCGTCATCGAACCAGACTCGGAGAAAGCTGAGGGAAAATGGCCCTAAGTTCAGCAAACTTCCTACAGGAGGAGAGAACCACCATAAATCTGGTCATGTGGTGAGTAGCAGCTACGCTAGGGGAGAGGAGGTTATGTGGTGACGTCACTTATGCAACGTTCCGATTTCTGGTGTGTAGTCACGCTAATTACGAACTTTTACAAGCTGATAAATCTCAAAGTACGTGACTGGCGTGGTGGAAACACCCATCATCAGTTTTCATTTAAATTGCAGTACAACGTGTGTGATCCAGGACGTAAGGCAAAGTGGATCAGAAAATAGCTTTTAGCCCCGTTGACTTGCATTCATTTTTTCGTTCTTCTGGGGACCCAAGAGCCGTCCAGAAAGGGAGGAGACTTAGTTTCCTTATAGCAGATTCTTTTTTTTTAATCAAACCTAGGAGCTGTAGCTCTGCTGTGCTTGGCTTATGGTTCTGTTTTATGACCTGGTTTGGTCCAATCTCCAGCTTTAGCTAGCTGGAGCAGCTGACCCTTCGCACCCGGGTCACAGACTTTTTGAGCCGCTTCCCTCAGGCAGGAGGTTACGGTCCATCCGGACCAGAACCTCCCGCCATAAGAACAGCTTCTTTCCATCTGCCGTTAGACTTGTGAACAGATTATAAACACACAACCATGCTGGTCTTCTGTACTCGACACAACGTCACGTTATCGGCCATGTTACCATTACCTGCCATTTTTTATAGCCGAAAGTTTTATTCTAGTTTTTTTTATTATATTTTATTCTATTTTTAATCTTATTATTCATGTTATATGTAGCACATTAGTACCGAAGCAAGTTCCTAGTTTGTGAATCGTTTGTTCACTGACAATGGCAATAAACCTGATTCTGATTCTTTCAGACAGATGGACTCAAATCAGACTCTGGAAGACTTTGGCCTACACAGGAGTTCATGGTGGACTCAGTGACTGTGGGAGCCCAAACCATCACCCCTCCTCCACTGTGCAGACAGCTGGGATCAACTGTTCTCTCCAAACACGGAGCAGTGCATTATGGGTAAACTTTGGTCATATCTGTCCAAAGAACATTTTGCCAGGTTGGTTAATAGGAAACTTTACAAACCCAAGTTGTGCTGCCATGTTCTTTTCAGAGGGAAACATGTCACCCTATTTCAGTTTTTCTGATTATCCAGCCTTAGACCTCCACGATTTATAGCTTTAAAGTCATATTCAAACCAGCAGAAACAACAGAAATATTTACATTTTTACAGATTCCTTTAAACTGATTTGTTTGTAATTAATTGGACTGTTGATTCCATAATTTGACCCAGAAACTCTTTAAGATGTTCTGACTGACAGGATTTTGAAATGTAGTTCCCTTTTGGAATGATATCTCCCTTCTGTCTGAAAACACTTATTTTATTTGTAGGTAAGCTGTTTTTAATTTGTGTTTCTTTATTGTTAAACCGATCCTGAAAATGTAAGAGATTTATGTTTAAAAGTCTTTTTGTGTGTAGTTTTCAGTCATTAGTTTGTTCATCACTTTTCTGTGTGTCTCTTTTAGACAATAACAACAGCAATGATTAAATTGCTGCTTATTTTAATACCTGCGAGGACAGTAAATGGTTGCTCTGATTTCTTTGTGCTGGTTCACCAGATGCAGGACCAGGTTCATCAAGGCCTGTGAAATGATACACATTTACATCTAAATACGATAAGATCCTTAAAAATACTTTTAAAAAGATTTAGCAACATACCTAAAGACAGCAGCTCCTCGTCCAGCAGCGAGAGAGCTGCAGACGGCGCTCCGACACTTTCAGACTGAGCGCCAGAGGCTGATGATCCACAAAGCAGGTTGCCCGAAAATGGTACCGACGCCACCTCAGGTTTGTACGCGGGCGGAGAAGGACTCTTGTCAAGACCCACCAGGTCAATCAGAATCTCCGACTGGGTTGTGCTGCCAGTGCCTTTCGGGTGGAGAAAAACATCCAAACTATGAAGCACGTGTTCAAATCTACACCCATCTCCAACCAGTGTCCTCACTCAGTGTGTTTATGTGCACGTCTAAGTCCATCTAGGTTCTTCTAAAGTAATAAACTGGAAGCCTTTATCCTAGTTTACATGTGCATTACAACGCCGAAGTCTCAAACGAAGTTTGTTCCACTCCGGTGGCGACTTGTGCACTTTCGTGTCTGCATTCTTCTGGTTGAAAACACAAATAGTGAACAAACGCTGGCAGGAGTGAAGCAGACAAAGTTAAAACAGGATATGAAGCAAGGCTTATTTGGTACGTACTGTCCTGTTTAAGGGTGTTACACGCTACTTTAGTTACTGGTGTCAGCCCGACTGGGCCGATTACATGCAGACGAAGCCGGGCTCCCGCCGCATTAACCGGGCGCTTCAGCACAATGAGAACCAGTTCACCTTCAGTCAGACTAACGTGTTTACATGCACTTAAAAAAAGGTCAGTCTACTCCGGGCAACAGTTCAGTTTTCTGATGAGCATGTAAATGCACTAGGTGAATTTTAGGAGCTGCTTATTTAGAGATAAAAATGTCCTTTTATCAATCTTTAGTTGTGTAGAGATGTTTTAAATGAAAATAAGTGGCCTGTATTTGATATAGCGCCTTCTAGAGTCCTGGAACCCCCCAAGGCGCTTTACAACACAATAAGTCATTCACCCATTCACACACTGGTGGGGATGAACTACAGTGTAGCCACAGCTGCCCTGGGGCGCACTGACAGAGGCGAGGCTGCCGAGCACTGGCGCCACCAGTCCCTCCGACCACCACCACCTCCGTCAGGAATCTTGGCGTGACCTTTGACCCAGCTCTCACCCTGGATTCTCATGTCAGTTCTCTTGTTCGCTCTTCCTTCTTCCATCTCAGGAACGTTGCTAAGCTGAGTCCCATTCTGTCCCACTCTGAACTTGAGACTGTTCTCCACACCTTCATCTCCTCACGCTTAGACTACTGTAACTCTCTTTTCACGTGTCTGAGCAGAACCTCCCTGAACCGTCTGCAGGTGGTTCAGAACGCCTGTGCTCGGCTTCTGACCAAGTCCTCCAAACACACCCACATCACCCCGCTTCTCCTCCAGCTTCACTGGCTGCCAGTCAACTTCAGGGTTCATTTCAAGATCCTGGTTCTGGTCTATAGGGCCTTACATGGACAAGCACCATCTTACATTGGTGATCTTCTTAGTCCCTACACCCCCAGCAGGTCCCTGAGGTCCAGTGATCAAAGCCTACTGGTTGTGCAGCACCAGGCTAAAGACCAAAGGTGACAGATCATCTGCTGCTGTGGCCCCCAGACCCAGACCTCTCTCCCCCTGAGCCTGAGATCAGTGGACTCAGTGGTCTCCTTTAAAAAGCAGCTGAAGACTCACTTGTTCAAGCTGGCTTTTGTATGACCTTCTTCACCTCTCTCTTTATTCTGCTCTCCCCACCTATTCCACCTTCCTCAGGATCCACTGATTTCCCTCTTTTCTGTTCACTCTCTCTCTTTCTTAACATTTTTTTACTCACAATTGCCTATTTTTGTTCATTTGACATATATTTTTAAACATTTTCAAAATGCTTTTTTCTATTTTTTATATTTTTTGTTTTTGTGAAGCGCCTCGTGATTTTTATCTTGAGAGGCGCTATAGAAATGATATTTTCTTCTTCTTCTTCACCAGGAGGCAAGGTGGGTTAAGTGCCTTGCCCAAGGACACAACGACAGCGACAGACTGTAAGTCTGTAAACAGAGAAACACGAACTACTGGGGAAAAAGTGAACCCTTTAGATGGTTTTTGCTTTGTTTTATCTGTTCATCATAAAGTTGTGAGTTCAAAGCAGGGAGGGCAACAACAAGGGTTCTGGAAATGGAAAAGTAATAATTTAGCATGTTTAAGAAAAGCTTGGCTTGTATTATGTGTTTTTGCTTCGGTACGGCATGACGGAGACGGGATAAGATGGAACAGGGTCATGTGGACTACTTACAGCTTTTATTCTGAACATCAACAGAAAACTGGTGGATCAAAGTCAAGTCAAAGCTTTTATTTTTAAATGTAACACAGAACACAACTTCACTGGACAAACTGTTTACTCCAAAGTAAACGATCTGCAGTTAGCTAATTGGACATGAATATGAGCTTTGATGAATTAACAACATAATCTAAATAAAATGCGAGATAAAACCAGAAGCACCCACTAAAAAGCTAACCCCTCCTTTCCACCGGAGCCGTCAGCAGCACGTTACTGCAGCAGCACGTCTAGCTGCTGCTTGGCCCTTCCCACGAGACGCGAAGCAGCAGGGGAGCAGCTGTCACCGACCGAGCACGAAGTCACACGAGTGACTTCGTCAGTAAACACAACAACAAGCAGGAGAAAATTACAACATGGTTTGTGTTTTATGTTCTGTCCGTTTTATAATCGCCAATACGGACCTGAAAAACAAAGGAGACCGCTAGCTAGGTGATAACTTCTCACGGGGACGCACAGTTAGTAACTTTTTTAAAAGTAAAGCAACCGGAAAGCAGTACGTTTCTTTATTCTGAAAATCTCGGGAGCTTCTCTCCATTTCCGTGTCCGATTTCCTGTCTTTCCTCCCCCAAAAATGTCGAACTTGACCCGTTTCAGAGGCGTCGCGCGTAGAAAATAGAACCGGCGTGTAAAGGCCGCGACATGCTGCTCCTGAGACGCGGCCGACTCGCGCTGCTGACGGCTCCGGTGGAAAGAAGGGGTAAGACATGCTGCTGTGTTTGGACTCGAGGCCTCTGGGGGAAAACAGGAATCTGAGGGGAGATTTAAAAGATCTGTGAGCAGGCAGCTCAGGAGCCTGGCTGGACTTCGAAATGCCCAACAACTGATTTGTGGACCTCAGAGTTCTGACTGAAGAGTGAAGAATTCAGAGATCAGACATCTAAAGAGGTTCCAGACCATCAAGACTCTTAAAAACAAGAAATTAAACGTATTCCAGGTCCTGAACTGGATGGGAGTCGTTTGCTAAACAGAGTGACATTTTCATCATTACCTTTCTTTCTCCACTGCTTTTGTGACAACTTGGAGCTGAAAGTGTACAACAGCTGGGGCTACACTGGTAACAACAGTTTATAAATGTAAATAAAGGGATTTTAAAAAAATGTTTCTGCAACTCTATTCCACCTTAAAACGATCTACCACGTCTAACCTCACCTTGTTTGAATGATGGCTGCATTCCTCGTGCTACTTCTGTGTCCCCGCTGATGGCGTGTCCTTCCACTATCTTCTTATAGGAACTGGTGACGTGAGCGAGGTCATCACTGGCCTGCAAGATCTCTCCTAAAGGGTTAACATGATTAAAATGCTTAAAAACGGCAGATTAGAACACAATTTAACACATCTGGTGTCTGAAAGGTCACAACAGGAACAACGTTCTGTAGCAACAACACTTAACAGGTGTTCTTACCCAAACTGCTGTCATCATCCTCAGTTTCAGTAGCTAGCTTAAATACGGTTTGCCTCATCTTGTCACAGTCATTATATAACTCCTGGAAACACAAACACAGAAGGGAAAGTCACATTTTGAGCTCCGATTGTAAATCGGTAAAGATACAAAATGTGTCTCTTTTCACTGTTTGTCACTTCAGATTAGCATCAAACAACCTTAACAGTGCTTGTAAACAGTGTGGATTTGCACGACACTTGAATGTTTCAGATAAGCTAATGTGTTTCAACATCAACACAAAGCTAACCTGAGAAATTACAAAATGCAGCTGTGAAATGACTTCATTTATTACCGGGAAACATCCTCCCAACCAGTCTGCTTCAATCTAAACTTCTATGTAAAGCTGACCCTCGAACTTAATGCCATGGTAACCAGCATCAGTCTCTCATCACTGAGGAGTAATGTTGTCCGCCTCTTCTTTACAGAACTGATATAATTCAGCTGCATTTAAGGGTCCTCCAGCAGCAATGTCTGTTTAGGGTCAAAGGTCAGAGGTTCTCCTGAGCCCTTTTCAGACAGACATTCTGGAGCATTTGTGGACAATTCAATCCGGTTTTTAGCCGGAACTGTGTTTTCAGACACACCACTTTTGATAGCTCGCTGCTGTAGCATGCGGCGAACCACGGCAGCTCGCCTCCTACGGTACCGCCTAGACGCGCGACGGAGCGCTTCACACCGCTTCAGTGATTCCTTTAACCATTGAGCTTCATCATCCAGGTCTCTTATGCGTCTTCGTGTGCGCAGAATTATGCTTAAGCGCCTCGTGATTTTTATCTTGAGAGGCGCTATAGAAATGATATTTTCTTCTTCTTCTTCTTAACATAAGTCCGACCCCCCCGGCCCCCGCCGCCAGCCGTCAGACATCTGGAACTTGTCCCTGCTGTGCGAACGCAGCCGAAAGGACAAGTTCCGGTACAAAAGTGGTGTGTCTGAAAACACAGTTCCGGTTAAAAACGGGATTGAATTGTCCACAAATGTTCCAGAATGTCTGTCTGAAAAGGGTTCAGGAGCGCACAGCGTCCCCCGGTCTCCTCCCCCTCCCCCTTGTCTGGAACTCTACCTCACCAGTCTGAAGCAGCCACCCTGTCCGTAACAAGTCCGGACCTGTTACTAGGGGCGTCGTCCGGTTAAATTCCAGAACACGTTATCCGGATGTTTGTATTCAGACACAAAGGTCTTACGGACAGAGTCCGGAACATTTCCGTTTTTCATGGCCTGTCTGAAGGGGGCTCTAGAGAGCTGAACTCATGGCTCCATCAGTTACAGCAAACGGTCCTGAAGCAGACCATCCCACTACCACCACCATGCCTGACTCTTCCTATGTTGGTGCTAATATTAGTTTTACTCCTGATGGAATGGCTCACACACTTTCCGGATTATTCCATTTGCGGTCACAGAATACTCTTCCAAAACTTTTAGGAATCATCCAGATGTTTTTTGATTAATGTGAGACAGGTCTTTGTGTCAGTTTTGGTCATGGCACTCCCCCCATAGAGGCATCTTTTTAAATTATGACCTCTAACCTTAGCCTGACTCTGAACCAAGTGTGACCGGGATCCCACGGGATCCAACACAAATCTCACAGGAACGGGAGGCTAAACTAGACCGTTGGTCCCAATGTGAACGGCATGATGGAAGTAGAACAGATGTTAGTAACAGAGTTCTGCACTGGCACAGAGGTCTCCCAACTTCCCAGAGAACCAACATTATTATTACGTACACAGGCAGGTGTTACACTGCTGTGGGTGGAAGCAGATGGCTAAAAATAAACCACGGGTCCCAAGGTTGTCAATCATATAGTGAATAAAGAGGAGGATGGCAAGAAAAGTTAAACTCGAGTGCCTAAAACAAAAGTAAAAGACGAAAAATCGGACACATGAAACAGCTTGCTCTTCCAAAAGAAAACACTCAGTGCATTTAAAGTGTATTTGACTGTAAATAATGTTTTTTTATTATTATCTGTTGGGTCTGTGGATGGAGGTGGCCTGGACGTGGTGCAACAGTTTGGGCAGCAGTATAAATCGTTGGTTGTTACGATAAAAAAATGAGTTCAATACTTCACATAGGAGACACACAGTTGTATTTGAGAAGTGAAGCAAAGCTTATAGGGTTTACAGAAATAATCGTTTAAGCAACATTAGGCAGGTGCACAAATTTGGGCACCACAAAAAGAAATGACCTCACTATGTAGTCTATCCTCCTTTAGCAGAAATAACAGCCTCTAAACTCTTCCTAAAGCTTCCAATGAGAGTCTGGATTCTGGCTGAAGGTGTTCTGGACCATTCTTCAATAACACAACATCTCTAGTTCATTCAGGTCTGATGCTTCTGAGCATGGACAGCTCTCTAACTCACACCACAGATGTTCAACAATATTCAGGTCTGAGGACTGAGATGGCCGTTCCAGAACGTTCTACTTGTTCCTCTGCATGAACGCCTTAGTGCAGGGGTGTCAAACTCAAACTCACAAGGGGCCGAAATGAAACTCTGGGACGGAGTCGAGGGCCAAACTTAATATTTTTTGAAAAAGTGACGGCAAATTTGCACATTTTCTTTATCAACATTTATGCAATTTTGAACCTTTAAATTTGGAAACAAACTTATTTCTGCATTAACACTGAATGTGGAATAACCAAATTACACACGAGCAAGTCAGTTTTAAATAAAAGGCATCAGTGGTATTCATTACTTGTGGTATAATCAGCATTTTTAAAATCTATTCAGGATTTATGTTTTCTTGTTTATTCATTTTTCTTATTTTTTATTCTCCTTTTTTTCTCCTGTAATACGTGTCATCGCTGCTGTGACGTCTAGCTTTCCCCACTGAGGAACAATAAAGGGATTTTCTATTCTATTCATCTATCTGCAGCCTTTTCACTTCCTGTTTACTGTAGGTTAAATCTTTTCTCACGGGCCAACAACAAAATAAAATATCATTTTATCTTAAATGAAAATGCAACATCTCACCTGTTAACTTTCATGTTTTGGAGCAGAAAAAGAGCATAAAACCAACATATTTAAAGCTCAGTTTGCTCCACTGGTTTACTGTGATGCTCACCTGTTCCAGCCAGATACCTGCATCATGGGGTTGATCTGAGCTGAGGAGGAGACTCCTGTTGTTTTGTTCATCTTCATCATAATAATGACAACATTAGATGACAACAGGTGCTCACATAGGTTTGTGCTGATGAACATGTCTGAGCAGCTTGACCACGTTGTTGTGTGTCGGGGAGGAAACACGACAGCAGCCACAGAGTCGTGCTGGTTTGAGCGTGTCGCTGCTCGCTGGAGTTATATCAGCTCTGTCTGGACGTTAGTTGGAAAACTTTCTCTTTCAGTCGTGAACACATTACAGCGCGGCTAGAATCTCCGTTTCTGGGCTTCAACGTCAGAAAACAGCTGAGTGAACTCGGCGCTGAGTGAGAGGAGTGTAGTTTGTCCGAGACAGCGGAGCTGCAGACACCCAACTACCTCTGACTGCCTCGTGCTGGAAAAACACAAAGGAGGGGGTGTGTCGGCTCCGCACTGGCGCCGCAAAGCATCATGGGATTGTAGTCTTTGCGGTAAAATCGGCCAGCGGGCCAGTTTTAATATATTTTTGATATTTATCTCGCGGGCCACATAAAAATGCTCCGCGGGCCTTGACTCTGACATATGTGCCTTAGTAGATGGCTTGTCCAAATATGCTTTAGCAAACCTCATGCAGCTCCATTTGTGCTGTGGGTGGAGAAAAGGCTTCCTCTGCATCGCTCTCACATACAGCATCTCCTTGTGTAAAGTGCACCGAATAGTTGAACGGTGCACAGAGACTCCATCTGCAGCAGGATGATGTTGTAGGTCTTGGTCGCTGGTCTGTGGGTTGACTCTGACTGCTCTCATCATTCTGTTACTTCTGTTTCTGACATTTTTCTTGGTCCTCCACTTGGAGCCTTAACTTGAACTGTGCCTGTGGTCTTCCATTTCCTCGTTGTGTTCCTAACTGTGGAAACAGAAGCTGAAATCTCTGAGACAGCTTTCTGTATCCATCCTCTAAACCATGATGGTGAGCAATCTTTGTTTTCAGCTCATGAGAGACTTGTTGTGAGACCCTCATGTTGCTGCTCTCCAGAGAATATTCAAATAACATCCAATAATCAGTTCTAAAGGTTTTGGAATCAATAAAATTACAACGGTGCCCAAATGTATGCACCTGCCTAATTATGTTTAAACAATTATTGCACACTTTCTGTAATCCTATTTGTTTCACTTCTCAAATATCACTGTGTGTGTGTCTCCTATATCATACATTTAAGTGAAATTTTTTTCATCTAAACCAATGATTTATACAGAAAACCATGAAGATCAACAAGGCTGCCCAAACGTACGCACCCGCTGTATTGCAAGAGGTGGTGTTCTCATTCTGAAAGTGTTACCAGGAAGGTTGTTCGCCCAAAAAAAAAAACATAGTATTTAAAATATTTATGTGAGTTTGATCAAAACTAACACACCTTAATAAGCTCTCGGTCTTCCTCAGTAGAGTCCTCTGGGCTGAAGTGATCCAGCATCTCATTAAGGAGTTTGACACTGTTGTTGACAGCCTCCAGGGTGCTTCTTTGTTTCACTGCTTTTTGTGATCTCATTTCATCCTGTGACATTTAAAAAAGCATATGTTAAGTAAAATTTCAATCTAAAACACACATTTAAAACCGAAGAAACGTTTCTAGCTTGAACTCTAGACAGACACACCTCCTTCACCATGTTCTTGATGAGGCGGTTTGCCTCCTGAAGATCTTCAGGCTTTTTGCTCTTCAGAAGTTCAGCGAGTCTCTGCAGTGAGACGACAGAAGTTAGTCGTCTACAGTCTGGCCTCGTTCCCACGCGTAACACTGGCGGGAATAACGCCATCCTAGCTCCCAGACCAGACAGAAAACCAACCTAATTCATTGATCAACTGCAGTCAGCACTAAGTCAACACACTGCCTGACCCATTTATAACCAAAACATCAACAATGCACATAAATCATGTGTTTCTGTGACATAATTTACAAAAAAACTTTAGAGACGCAAAAGTCAGGAAGGATGAGGCAAAGAAAAAAAAACTTCAATAATTTGAATTGTTTGAAAGTCTCAAATGCTGAGAAGACAAGGATCAATTATTTTCCAAGAATAAAACAAAAACAAATTGGCCGTATTTACTTTGTGTTGTCCTTTTATGTTGGAGACGGGAAGTTTTAAGAGGATGAACATTTTCCTTTTTGTGATTTTACCCCATGTGGACTTACTTCCTCACAGAAGACATTTTATTAGGCATTATTAGTTTTTATTAGGCTGAGCCTCTTGTCTTCAAAACTGCTACAATCCTTCAACAAGGTGTTGTTGGAGACCCTCCTCGAAGGTTCTGGTCCGTATCGCCATGACAACATCAGCTCCATCCATGACGAAAACATCCTGTTCCACCGCATCCCAAAAGTTCTGACCTGGACTGAGATCAGGTGACTGGGGGGGGGGGGGGGGGGGGGGTCGCTGGAGATGGCAGGATTGAGGCTCCACAGAACTTCACCATGAACATAAGCAGGCTGGTGTGAGTGCATCTGCAGCACAGTGAGGAGATGTTTGGAAGATGACCTTGGGCCTCACGTATGAAACTTTGTGAATCTTTACTAGAACATTAGCTGAGCTCAGCAAAGAAAAATAAAAAAATAAAAAGAAAATTTACTTGCACACATTTTCCAACCAATAGAACTCTGCTTATGCACAGCTGCACCCAGTCTCTCCTTTAAAAATCACACCTGTCCTGGAAATGACCTCAGGTGTTTCTGCATCTAATCCCGCCTCCTAAACGCCCACTTTCTGCCATAAATGGTCAATGCAAAAAAAAACCTGATGAATGATCTGCTGATTGGTGGCATTTCACATGTGTAACCATGGTAACACGGAGGTATAGAAAACACTGTTTCACCGAGACTGAAATCGAGGTGCTTGGTGATGAGGTAGAGACACAGAAAAATGTTTTACTGCCTTCCAGCGACACAGCGATTTTGCAGAAGGGTCTTGTGTGGCAGAGCCACGGAGCGATCATGGTCAACATAAAACAGAAAAAAACAAGTGGTGAGATGGAGCAGAAGAAGGCAACAATCACTTTAAAGATGATTTATGAAAACAATTTAACCAAAAAGGGCTTTAGGTAGGAAATGTTGATCATCATATCAACCAAATATCAGCCCGTCTGTCGGCCAATTCCTGCTGGAACGAGTCGGTTTAAGGAAACCCGACAGTGCTGCAAGTGCTGGGTTTTAGTTTATAGTTTGACAATTAATGTGAAGACATGAACTGTGGTCTGTTGGTTTAAAGTTGCACAAACTCAAGTTTTACACGTTACTTTAGCATCCTGACCAACTGTATAACAGTCTGGTATGGGAACTGCTCCGCCTCGGACCGGAAGGCGTTGCAGAGGGTCGGGAAAACTGCCGGAGCACCACTTCCTGCCATAAAGGACATCTACAGGAAGCGGTGTCTGAAAAGGGCGGGGAAAATCATCAGAGACCGCAGTCACCCATCACATGCACTGATCACCCTGCTGCCCTCTGGGAGGCGCTACAGGAGCCTCCGGACTAAGACCACCAGGCACCGGAACAGTTTCTTCCCAACAGCTGTCAGACTCCTGAACTCTGCCTCCTGACATATGACCCACGTTAAACTCATGGACTGCTTGTATTAACTACAGCCTGTACATACTTATAGTGATAGAATATTCATAACATACTTCATACCGTGTACATTATAACATACGTAATAGATCCATTTCTGTAATATACTTACACATCTATATTATTGCTAATATATATTGTAATACATCTATATCACGGCTAAAGCACTTCTGGATGGATGCAAACTGCATTTCGTTGCCCTGTACCTGTACATGTGCAATGACAATAAAGTTTAATTCTATTCTATTCTATTCTATTCTATTATACTTAACATGTGTATAGAACATGACTTGAGCAATGTCCACACCACGTTTTGTTCGTAAGCTTTATAGATGAGGTCCTTGAGCTTGCATGCATGATCTTGCTGGAAACAGCATCAGAAGATGGGTTCATGTGGTCACAGAGGGATGGACATGGTCAGCAACAACACTCAGGTAAGCTGTGGTGGTTAAACCAGGCTCAGGTGGGACTGATGCTGCCTTCACGTCAGGGCCGACTCACAAACACCATGGACTTCTCAGTGTGTGTTTTGCCCCACCCATGTGCTCCGCGACTTCCGCGTTCCTGAGAAGTGTGTGACCCAGACAGACGCCACACAGCCCAGACCATAATAATCCAATAACAATACATATTGATCGACAGATGTGTGGTTCAATAGGGGAAAAAAATTAATAAATAAAAACTTCAATAAAAGGTTTCCTTTTTCCATTAAAGCCTATCGGGTAGCTTCAAACTACAGTCATGACACACATCCAACCAATCACCCCCCCCCCCCCACCCCCAAATCTAAACGGACAGAAATGTTGCAGCAAGGAGAGGTGAAAGAAAATGTCCCCAAAAAAGGTTACAGTAGTTCACCAGTGTGGCAATATTTTCATTCTTACAAGTCTGACAAAAAACAAACAGCGCCGGTTTTCAAATTTTCATACAAATGCTATTCTCTAAATCAGGGGAGTCAAACTCAAACTCACACTGGGGCCGAAATGAAACTCTGGGACGGAGTCGAGGGCCAAACTTAATATTTTTTGAAAAAGTGACGGCAAATTTGCACATTTTCTTTATCAACATTTATGCAATTTTGAACCTTTAAATTTGGAAACAAACTTATTTCTGCATTAACACTGAATGTGGAATAACCAAATTACACACGAGCAAGTCATTTTGAAATAAAAGGCATCAGTGGTATTCATCACTTGTGGTATTATCAGCATTTTAAAATCTATTCAGGATTTATGTTTTCTTGTTTATTCATTTTTCTTATTTTTTATTCTCCTTTTTTTCTCCTGTAATACGTGTCATCGCTGCTGTGACGTCTAGCTTTCCCCACTGAGGAACAATAAAGGGATTTTCTATTCTATTCATCTATCTGCAGCCTTTCCACTTCCTGTTTACTGTAGGTTAAATCTTTTCTCACGGGCCAACAACAAAATAAAATATCATTTTATCTTAAATGAAAATGCAACATCTCACCTGTTAACTTTCATGTTTTGGAGCAGAAAAAGAGCATCAAACCAACATATTTAAAGCTCAGTTTGCTCCACTGGTTTACTGTGATGCTCACCTGTTCCAGCCAGATACCTGCATCATGGGGTTGATCTGAGCTGAGGAGGAGACTCCTGTTGTTTTGCTCATCTTCATCATAATAATGACAACATTAGATGACAACAGGTGCTCACATAGGTTTGTGCTGCTGAACATGTCTGAGCAGCTTGACCACGTTGTTGTGTGTCGGGGGGGAAAAATAAAAACTACAGAGTCATGCTGGTTTGAGCGTGTCGCTGCTCGCTGGAGTTATATCAGCTCTGTCTGGACGTTAGTTGGAAATCTTTCTCTTTCAGTCGTGAACACATTACTGAGCGGCTAGAATCTCAGTTTCTGGGCTTCAACGTCGGCCATTGGCTGAGTGAACTCGGCGCTGAGTGAGAGGAGTGTTCAGTTTGTCCGAGACAGCGGAACTGCAGACACCGGCAGCAGACGCTGGAAAAAACTCAAAGGAGGGGGCGCTTCGGCTCCATGCTAACGCTACATAGCATCATGGGAGTTGTAGTCAGAGTTGTAGTCTTTGCGGCAAAATCGACCAGAGGGTCAGTTTTAATATATGTTTGATATTTATCTCGCGGGCCACAGAAAAATGCTCTGCGGGCCTTGTGTCTGACACATGTTCTCTAAACATTTATGTTACCAATGACAAAACAAGAAAAGAAAAGTTGCAATATTCCAAGAATAAAATCCAAAATGGGTCCACTCACTTTACTCCGTTTCTCATCATCAAAGACAGGATTCTTGGGCCGTGGAGAAGGTGAGGGTATTAATGTGGCATCAAGGGAGACTTCTGGGTCGACAACAACAATACCTACAATAAAAAACACCACAAGTAACTTTTAAACACATAAAAGAACAGTTACACATCTGGAATATTTTTGGATTCATTTAGATTCCCTCATTTCCGATGTCCCACCCTGTGATTTCAGCATCTGATACGCTTCACAGATTTTCGCTTCATCCGGCAGAGAAACGGTCCAAGTATACAACATCTCTATCACCTTCATCTTCACCTTTTCGGATACTCTGTCTCCAAGGTACTGAAAAGTAATGCAGTCAATGCTCAGGCCAAACATTTTTACTGAAGGTCAGGGAACATCTTCCTACTTACTTTGGGCGAAACCACTTTAATTAACTCATTTAAAAACTTAAACTTCCCAACTTCATTGTGAAATCGTCGCCCACAGTTTTTCATGCAAGCCTCGAGGACCTACAGATGCAACACAAGGATTGTTTATTTGAGGTCAGAGGACATAAAACATAAAAACACAGTGAATTATTTAGGCTACAAACCGTTAATGCCTGCATCGCCTCCCACTCCTGAGGAGACTGAATCTTGTGTGCCAACAGTCTGACTGATATTTGCGGGCTGAAAAATGACACAGAAGGAGAAAAAACATGCAGCTGCACCAGAGGCTACGCAGATCCCCAAGTGTTTACAACAACGAAGGCACTTGTGATTTGATTAGATGAGCGTGAAACTGTGCTAAAGGACAGCGTATTGACTGAATGTGTGGACATACCCTTCTAGCTCCTTGTTGATCTGATCACAGAATCCCATGATATACTCCCAGTCCTCCTGTCTGTTGGAGGGATTGGTGGCTTTGTCTGAAAACGTGAAGACACAACCTGAAAGGAACGGCAAGGTGCACACTACACACTAACTAGGATTGTGATGATTGAAAACTTAAGTGAACCCCATCTATGCCCCTTTTCAACAGGTCAATGTCCTTAAAGCCACTGATTAGTGGTTAGCTGAGTTTCAAAAGATGCAGCTTTGTTTATTTAGATAAAGTTTAATAGTTCACGTTAGTGTTACCGAAACTCCAAACGAAACTATGACGTAACGTCCCGTTTTAGCAAGTATATTTAAAGTAACAAGCAAACCAAACAAGAAAGGTGAATTGAGCTCGCAGACAGCCATTCATTTGTTGCTAGCTGCTAGCCTCTTGTTAGTGACAACACAGCCTACTGAGCGCAGTAAAACTCAAATACGGTCATGTCACCAGAGTCCACATCGTCAAGTGAAAAGATAACATCATATAAAAACTTGTTTGCACATGACAGACACAGGTACACGCCCGGAAGTGAGTAATAAACGCGTGCTTACTAAGCCAAGACTCCAACGTCTCTCCATCCTCCGCCATATTTGTCTCCGTAATCAACTACTGCTGCATTCACGTGTCCCCAGAAACATGGGAATCTGTAATAACTTTTGTAACGGTGGTTTATTGCTGGCAAATTTGAAATGTGCAGACTTTTATTTTTATTTTATTTTTTAATATATTCGCAACCGATGTGTAAAAACGTGAATGCTACTTTAAATATCGGTGGATAAGTTGTTTTTCACGTTCTTTTAATAAAATCTTCTGAAGAGGAAATAAACGGACAGCCTGTGAAGTAGTCTGTTATAGTGGAATTAACTTCAAAGGAGCCAAAACTAAATAAACATTTCATGTTTTAACTTTTAATAAGTGAAGTTTTGAAAAACAAAATAATTTTATTTTTAGCTGATTTTTACAGAGTTTCTTACCTTTTTATTTTCAGCCTAGTGAACTACTAGACCAAATTTTTGCTTTGCTTTATTTAGTCTGGCTTGCCAGGCTAACACAAATAAACTTTTTCTTCTTCAAATTTAAAGAGAGAACTCTTTTCTCCTTCCCCATGGGTCAAAAGGGAGGTCAGACAGGGGTAACTGACAATCCTATTGGTGGCATACCTCACCCAAAAATCCAGAATTGGGGGATTTTTCTTATACCGTTGCCACACTAAGCGACTTAATAACAATTTATTTCATATTTCCTTTTAGTCTTTTTGCATCATGGAGGGAAAATACACAAACATAAATAACTACTGTAAAAGTGTGAAATCTGTCTTCTCTCTATATATTTGTACATCAAATATGTATTGTATTACTGGGCTCAATGTATCAAAAGATTCATACAATTTAAAAGCCTGGTGCAGCACCATTAGCATGGACGTAATTTTCACTTTAGAAGTGGGGGGGACACGGGGGGGGGGGGGGGGTATCTTTACAGGCTTCAACACAAACGGTTTCTTTCCGCTTGGTCCTAGAGCTCAACCAGTGTCAATTTAATATAGTGTAATATTGTTTTTGGATGGTAAAAAGTACAGGGGTCAAAACTTGACTTTAGAAAAAGTGGGGGGGACATGTCCCCCCTGCCCCCCCCCAAAAAAAAATTACGTCCATGACGATTAGATTGATTGGATCAGAAACAGCAATGTGTCCTGTGTTTACCTTACGTGTATCAGCATATCTAGTTAGATTAAAGTCATATTACTTGTTAAAACATATTAATCATGACATTGTTATTTCACAGATCGGTCAACATTGTATTATTGACTAACACTTGTTTTGATTAGCTTCATTAAAAATAAAGTTCTTTGATTTATTAAAAGAAAATAGTTCTTTATCTTTTTCTTCTCTTGCTGGAAAGAAAACAGTTTTAGAAGCAAATCCATGACCTTGAGGCAGTCTCATGCGCTCGAGCACTGTGTCAGAGGCATGTGGAGAGAGGTTAAACAACCTTGGGGGGATAGCTCCTTCATCACGTTGCACCAGTGAGAGGATGAGTAGAAGGACCTTCATCATTCCTCTGATCTTGTTAAACCTTTAACTCCACTTGGTCCATCAGCTCCTCTCATCAGTGTTTCCTGAGTTTAAACGTAACCCCACCTCCGCCTTCCACTTCTCTCGTGATGAGATGAGCTGCTTTCTGATTGGAAATCTGGACCAATCACTTTGTCTCAAGAAATTCTGTAAATGCCTTAAAAAAACAATTTAAATGAACTAGTTATGTTTCAAAGTCCCACAAAATGCTTATGAGTGTTTTTGTGCTTGTGTATCGCACCAGGTTTCAAAACCTTCAACCTAAAATAAAAATTCGTTTTTTTATTCTTCATTCTTATGATTCTTTTGTAGGAAACTCTTTTTTTATGCTGATTAACAAAAACAAAATACTAAATCTGCTTAAAAGACGTTGCTCAAAACCAAGGTAAAGGCCTGTTTAATGCCCCTGAATAATTATAGGTCATTTACAGCAAATAAACTGTCAAGACCTTTGTGAATATGACCTACAAGCACACTTTAATGGGTAAAAAGAAGTGTCAAACCGTACTGGCTTTATGAATATCAGCTACAAACGTACTCTGATGGGCAAAGTTAAGTGGCAAACTGTCATACCTACTTTAATTTGTGCTGGAATTATTGTTTGGCAGCAGAAATGTGCATAAATTAGGTACAGTAGGACATTTTGCCAAAGTAGGACGTTTTATCAGAACACCGGCCAGGGAGAAATACACAGTTAGAACAACGGAGGAGCGGAGGAATTGTTTTGGAGGCGTATTTTCAAGATAGTCGGACTATCCGTGCTCGTTGACATGTACTACTATGGGGCATGCGCACACTGATTATTTTAAGGCTTTGTTGAAGTTTTACAACTCAGGGAAATGTTTCGCAAATCTCACACTGTGTTTTATTTGATCTGCTATTCAGTGGCGTGTCCAGATCTTTTAAACTGGGGTGGCCCAGGTGAGGCACAACTTTGCGCATGGGTGGCACCAATGGTTATGCTTTATTTTTGTTTTACCCCCGAGCCTTTTGTGGACAATGAAAAGCCTATTTAAAGGTAAATTAGTGTGGTGGCACCTGGGGTGGCCAATCAGATTCCAAGGGTGGCATGTGCTACCCCAGGCCACTCCCTGGACACACCCCTGCTGCTATTATCGTAGAATAGTTTTTGAGTTACAGCTGTTCCGTCATTGGCCAGATGCTGAAAACGCATATCTGGCCTTGTTGAAGTTTTACAACTCAGGAAAATGTTCCACAAATCCCACACTGTGTTTTATTTGATCTGCTTTTATAGTAGACTAATCTAGTACAAGTTTGAACTGTATGGCTGTAGTAGTTTTTGAGCTGGAGCAGATTAAAGATGGTCAGTGCCCCTGATGTCCACGTGATACTGCTAAGCCGTGTCAACCAACAGCAGGGGCGTGTCCAGGGAGTGGCCTGGGGTAGCACATGCCACCCTTAGAATCGGACTGGCCACCCCAGATGCCACCACACTAAGTTCCAGTTTAAACTGACTTTACATTGTCGACAAAAGGCTTAGGTTGTAAACTCCAAAATAGTGAGTGGTTGCATGCATCTTTCACCTCGTTTTCTAGCCCAGGCATGTAGTATTACTATTATTTAATGTTTTTTCATATTCACATACATAATATTTAGAGTCCCACTCAACTCCAGTTGGTGGCAGTAATGACACAAGAAGTGACTTGCTAACCACCACAAAAGTAGAAGATGAAGAGGAAAAAAAATGGTGATTGTGCAATGTGAAACTCAAAAATTCACTAGGAAGTAAATAAATAAATAAACAATTTGTGTAAATAAATAAATAAGCATAACCATTGGTGCCACCCATGAATAAACAAGTGCCCCACATGAGCCACCCCATTTCAAAAGTCCTGGACACGGCCCTGACCAACAGCCCAACATCCAGCCTTCCAGTGAGGAAGCAGAGTCTGGGGACTTTGAGTTGGACTCTCCGATCTCTGGGGCCAAGGTCACTGAGGCTGTCAACAAACTCCTCAGTGGTAAGGCCCTGGGGGTGGATGAGATCCATCCGGAGTTCCTTAAGGAAAAATAAAAGTAAAGGAAAGTGAAATCAGAATGGATACGTGTTGTGGAGTATTTTGGTCATTTTCCCGTAAAAAACACAGTAAAAGTACAGTTATAAAACAACTTATATTATTTGTGTATCAAGGTAACTTACATCCCTCATAATCTAATGTATACTGCTCGATTATAGCAATCCTCCTTTTCTGTCTTTTTATGGCGCGCGTGCTGTTTTTACCGTAACACTTGAATATGCGCGCCACTACTTTAACTGGGCGCCAACAGCGGCTGGCTTTATTGCAGTCTGCTGTTATTTAGGAGATCTGAACAGAAATATTGCTGCCTGTTGTGATGGAAACAGGCGCCATGACAGAGAGCATCTGCTTCATTTTCGGTTCATTTTTGAGACTCGTAATTTTCCACATTTATTTTCATACACCTTTATTTATATATTTATTTATTTATTTATTTATTTATTTATTTATTTATTTATTATATTTTATAATCCAGCACACTCAATCTATCATTTTATGACCCTGTTATAAAGCGACAAAGTAAAACAAATGTCATGGACGCACATCTCTGCGTGCCCGCACCCATTGCTGGGTCATCATCCGATTCGTGTGCTGTCGGAGTCCGCAGACGCGTGCTGGATGTGGCGCGGTTCGGACGCAGCGAAGCGCGCTGCTCGGCTCACTCACCACTTTTATTCTAGCGCATTTTAGGCTCCGAATCAAGATATCTGGAGTCGGATACAGCATTTATTTGCAGGTGTCTTTACCTGAGAAAACAAACGTTCAACTAGTGGCTGGTGCGGAAGCATATTACTCGGATTTACTTTGGATTTGAAACCATGGATTTCCACAGCGACTCTAATTATTCCTATGGAGGCTCTAATTTAACAACAGGTGAGTCCAGGAGCAGGTGTTGACCAGCTCACAGCTTTATAGGCATCAAAGCTACATAATACTGGCATAAACATGACTCTAATTTCCCTCTGGGATTAATAAAGTATCTTTGAATTTGAACTGAATTGATAAATAAATTATAACAATTTAAAAATCTAACATGAGAATATATATATAATATTTATTCACATTTATGAGCGTTTGTGTGAGAAAAAAAGCATTTTATTAATTATTATTACATTAAATGCACTTTAACAACAGGTGGGAAGAAAAAGCATTCTGCTATTATTATGAGAAAATATGAAACATTGATTTTTTATGGTAATTCAGTTAAAGAAATTCTTGACATTATTTTTCTTATTTTATTTCTACTAGGACTCCCATGTTCATCGCGTAAATATGATATTTCTGAATAATTTTAGACAAATCATATTAAAGAAAAATTTCAGTACATCATGCAGTGAAAACTCAACAAATTTTCTGTTTAATTCAAATGAAAATAATATTTTTGGTTTCATTCCAACAGGAGACGAGCCTCCTCACTGTGGAGCCAGCCTCCTGATCATCTTTGGTATCATCTTTTTCTTGGGCATCATAGGGAACTCCATCGTCATGTACACCATTCTGAAGAAGACCAAGTGTCATGCCATGCAGACCGTTCCAGACATATTTATCTTAAACTTGTCGATTGTTGACCTTCTGTTTCTTCTCGGGATGCCTTTCCTGATCCATCAGTTGCTGGGCAATGGCACGTGGCACTTTGGGGCAGCCATGTGCACGGTCATCACCGTGCTTGACTCCAACAGTCAGATCGTCAGTACGTACATCCTCACTGCGATGACCCTTGACCGGTACTTGGCCACGGTCCACCCCATCCGTTTCAACTATGTCCGAACGCCGTGCGTGGCAGTGCTTGTGATTGGTCTGGTGTGGGTTCTGTCCCTGCTCACCATCATCCCTGTGTGGATGTATGCAGGCCTGATGCCTCTCACAGACGGTCTGGTTGCCTGTGCGCTCCTCCTGCCAGATCTAGTCAGCGATACATACTGGTTTACTCTCTACCAGTTTTTCTTGGCCTTTGCCATTCCACTGGTTGTAATCTGCCTGGTGTTCTTCAAGATCCTGCAGCACATGTCCACCAGCGTGGCACCGCTGCCCCCACGTAGTTTGAGGGTGCGCACCAGGAAGGTGACCCGGATGGCTGTGACCATCTGTCTGGCATTCTTCATTTGCTGGGCTCCTTACTACATTCTCCAGCTGGTCCACCTCGGAGTCCAAAACCCCAGCCTGGCATTCTCGTACGCCTACAACATTGCCATTAGCATGGGCTACGCTAACAGCTGCATCAATCCGTTCCTCTATATCGTCCTCAGCGAGACTTTCAAAAGACAGTTCGTCAGGGCCCTGCGCCCAATCAACAGAAAGTTTCGCGTGAACCCGAGCACCACGGACGGAGGCGTGAGCGTGAGGATGATACCTGAAGGAGCTCAGCGGGAGCGGGCCTCCAGGGAGATGCTGCCATCCGAAGAGTCCCCGGCATGATCCAGAACCAGAATCAGAATCAGAATCAGGTTTATTGCCATTGTCAGTGAACAAACGATTCACAAACTAGGAACTTGCTTCGGTACTAATGTGCTACATATAACATGAATAATAAGATTAAAAATAGAATAAAAAAAAACTAGAATAAAACTTTCAGCTATAAAAATGGCAGATAATGGTAACATGGCCGATAATGTGACAGTGTGTCGAGTACAGAAGACCAGCATGGTTGTGTGTTTATAATCTATTCACAAGTCTAACGGCAGATGGAAAGAAGCTGTTCTTATGTCGGGAGGTTCTGGTCCGGATGGACCGTAACCTCCTGCCTGAGGGAAGCGGCTCAAAAAGTCTGTGACCCGGGTGAGAAGGGTCAGCTGCTATCCGACCTGCACGCCCCCGAGTCCTGGAGACGTACAGGTCCTGGAGGGACGGAAGGCTGCAGCCAATCACCTTCTCAGCAGAGCGCACAATGCGCTGCAGTCTATGTTTGTCCCTCACCGTGGCTCCAGCGTACCACACAGCGATGGAGGAGGTGAGGATGGACTCAGTGATGGCCGTGTAAAACTGCACCATCGTCTGGACCGGCAGCTTGGCCTTTTTCAGCTGCTGCAGAAAGTACATCCTCTGCGAGTTAATCCTGCAACTTTTGTCTGTGCAATCAGTGATTCTAAGGGAGGCATCTGCGTGAGCTTTGTTCTGTTGAATGTATATTTATCAAAAATCATCACGTCTCAGGGGAAATCTGCAAAATTAGTAACTATTTCTCCCAAATTCTTTCATTTTCCACTCATTTGCTCCTAAACTGACAAACTGAAACACTTTTGTTTTCTCCTCTCTGAAAGCTGTTTTGCAGCAGCTTGTTCTGAAAAACTCAGTCCACTCACTTCAGCTTTCATTCTATTGTCAAAGCTGAGGACCTTTCAGTGCAGACAGCAGCTTATTAACGCTGAACCACCAAATAAGTATTTCACATGCATTTAGACTTGCTGCCAAGGATTTACATCTGTGTGTACAGTGTATAACACAAGGAATCCCAAAAAAATATGTTCTTTTGTGCTTTCATCACTTTTGATACACTTTCTTACAGGTTTGCCCGTTGATGGGTTGAAACGTCTCCAACCAGAGCAGAAAACAGAGTCTTTGCTTTGCTGTGGTGGCAGAAAATGCAAATAAGAAGAAACTGTGAATATTATTGTGCAGATTTAGGATTAAAGGTGCAGTGAACAGTCGTTGTTTACACAGCTGCACAGGGCCAAGGTAATGCATCTGCTGCACAGATGCGTTCTGTCGGAGGAAGAGCTGTGCATGTGATGACCTTCTTCATCACTCTTCAACTAAGCAAGCAGAAAATGTTTTCATGCTGTCTGATGTTTCTGGGTTCCAGAAATGTTTTTCTGTTCAGTTCTTATTTTTATTTATTGTATATCCCGTGGTGTTGAATTTGGTGTTAATTATCAGGTTGTCTAAAAATTACGACCAGCTGAACGATGTTTAAAGGAAGGGGAAGCCATGTTTTCATTGGTTGAGATTTAGGCCCTGTCCACACGTAGCCGGGGATCTGCCAAAACGCAGATATTTTTCTACGTTTTGGCCTGCCATCCACACGAAAACGGAGTTTTTTCACACGAAAACGGATCTTTTTAAAAACTCCGGCCAAAGTGAAGATCTGCGTTTTCTCCGTTTTGGGTGTCTGCGTGTGGACAGACAAAACCGGAGTTTTAAGGTCCGCAACGTCACTTTCCGCGACAAAAAAATGCTGACATCACGTGTGCGACCTGTGTTTACACTAGCCGACAGCATGGACGCCCTCAGAGCTGCGCTCGCTTTATCAATTGTCCAAGCGCTTTTTGCTTGTTTGTTTTTGCAAGAGGAATTACTGCTCCTTGCGGAAGACCACAGACGAAGGACGAGGTTAAGAACGGGGGAAGTACTGCCGCCTACAGGTCTGGCATGTCCTTAACAACGTATTTATCCGGGTACGTGTGGACAGAGTTTTTTAAACGCGGTGGTGTGGATGCAAGTTTTTGGAGGGGCGGATATTCGTTTTTAAAAAAAACCCGGCTACGTGTGGACTAGGCCTCAGGCTGAACCCCCCCATGAATGCAAATATGACTAACTTTGCCACCCACTGTTAACAAAGTTGAATAATGGAACCTTTTATTTTGTTTAATAACTTTTTCTTATTTTACCACAAGATAAAGTGGAAAAGGGGTGTTGGTGTGTGTGTATGTGTGAATAATTGATATGCAAATGAATGACAAAACAAAAAAGAAAGTAAAAAATGAATAGGCCCAGATTGTTATGAATGCAGTGGAAGGGAAAAATACGAATGTATAAATAATTTGATCATTTGAAAGAAACATTTCAAAGACAGATGGAAAGGGGGAGAGAAAAGAAATAATAAATAAATGAGCAAAGGCAGATATTCTGGAATAGTTACAGGAGTGATGCTATGAATGAGAGCAGGTTCTTCCATCTGGTGATGTGCGGGTTTCCAGTCAAGGAGAAATTACTTTCTTGGCGTTAGCCGACAACTCCAACAGCTGATTTTTATTGATTGTGTTGAGTTGAAGCGTGGACGTGTCACCAGTGAGACAGAATTGGATACATTGGAACGTGGTAGTGAAATAATGTAGAGAGCAACCGAGTGATTGTAATGCTTTTAAATGTTTTTGTGGACAGACTGGTTAAATCAAGATATCACCTTTAAAAAGGCTAAAAAGCTATTTTCCCAGATGGGACTCAGAATAAATACCATATTAATGAGGAATTATTTCAACCAACCTTTTCATGAAAAGCTGGAATATCTCTGGTATACACATGATCACCAGTGTGCATGTGAATATTTGCACCAAGAATGCAGTAATCGTCATCCAAACAGGAAACGTGTGTCACTACAGACTGAAGCTAAATTGTAAGAACACATAATTTATGTTTTCAACTGCCAAAATGTTGTAACTTCACGTTGTCACTACCCCTGTTTATTATATTTATGGAGTGATAACTATGTGAACTTGTGGATGTCAACCAGTGGAAATAAAACGGTCAACAGATGAACATCACGCTACAGTTGTTATTTTGTTTAGTTTCTCTGCAATCAAAGCTCTCCAAGTGCCATTAACACATTTTTATTTGGTTTTCCAGTGTGCAGTAAAAGCTTTGGATGGATGTACTTCACTTTGAAATGTGAAAATGCCCGTAAAAGTCTGGCTGTGAAGTTCTGAGATGCTTAAACGTTATTGTCATTTTGTCAAAGGCCCAACTCGGAAACAATTAACAGACCGTGTTTGGGGCTGCTGTTGAGGCTCAGCTAACCTTCAGCTCTACAGGCCCGTTCAAGGTGGAACACATTTTTGTTTTAGTCTGTCAACGCACCTGCCACGATGTGGAACTGTAGTTAGGACCCAAATGCAGGTGATAACAGGCACAGGTAAAAAAAAACAGTAATATTGAATCATTAAAAGACAACACCAACAATAAAACAAATAAAACACAAATATCGATGATAAAAACAGAGGAATTCGGCTGGATCAGGGAAAAAAGCAGGTAAAAAGATGGGTCTCTAAAAGAGAGCTGCAACCATTCCAACAGTTAAAGGGAGATTTTTTCAGCTGAAAAACCTCTGGTTCTCCTGGTCACCAGACCGGTCCTGGGAACGTCTAACGGCTGCTGGGATTCAGACATCAAACCTTTCCTGGAGACATGCCTTTTCACAGGTGTGAGGGTGTCTGACCATTTAGACATCTAAAAACTAAGATTTAAATCAATCCTAAAATGTGAGAGAAAGTAATGTTTTTGCTTCTAATTGAAATTTTTTTTCTCCTCCATCACATTGAACAATCAATTTTTTTCTTTTTATTATTGTGGCATGTAACGTGACTGTTACACCCGTCTGTGGGCTCATCTAGGAAGGAGAGGGGAATAAACATAAGATGGACCAGTGTAACAAAAAGTGACCCTTATTGGGGAGAAACAACCTGACCAAGCAAAATCAAACTCAAAGTGTCCTTGTACTTTCAAAGGTTTTATTAAAACAAAGCGGAACCAAAAGAAGGGCCAAAACCCTTACCTAGAAATTAACTGAAAATGAGCAGAGGACCAACCACTCTATATGTCCTAAACTAAATCTCCATTTAATTAAAAGGCTTTGAACTCAAGACGGGGCAAAGGTCCCACCAAATATTTAAACAAAAGGTTTGTCTAATAGTACTAAATTAACTAAAGTTGTCAAAACACCAAAAATAGCTCAGGAAACCGAGACTTCAAAAGGGGAAAACCCCACCTGGTAATTTACCAAAGGTAGTCTAAATGACTCACCAAACCGAAAATTACAGCTTAACTAAGAATATCCCAAGCACAAAAATCCTAAGAAGTAAGCAAACTACAACCTGGTTTTAACCACAAAACCATAAGGTAACCACCAAGGGGAGAGAACACACGTTGCTACTGCAACCCACAAACATTTCTCTCCCCTGATGAGCTCCAGCTGGCCGCTTTTGAAGGGCCAGCTGATGAGGTGAGAAGTCCCAGCTGGCCATGACTGCCGCTCCGGCGCTGTCCATGGTCCTGAATGAACTTTCCCAAGGAGCCGCTGTCCACGGTGCTGCTCTGCTGCCCTGCTGAACAGGCGGCGGCCGTAACAGTGACTCATGTATAATCTCAGCCTGTTCCATTACCCGGTTGTTTTTCTGAAACCGGTGAATACATCCTTGATGCAGCCTTCCTAGGATTTGTCCAGACCAGGGTTTCTTGGAAAGCACGTGTTACTCTCCAACATAATGATGCATGAGAACACTGACAAGCTCCTGTCACAGATCTGCAGAGCAGTCAGGTTTTAGCAAAGCTTGTCTGCAGAGGTATAATGAGCCTTGTAGATCTTCCACATGAGGCAGGTTTCAATAATTGGGGTGAAACTAAACTTATGACATTTTTTCTTTCAAGGTTAGATTATTATTTATCCCTAATATACAAAGTTCTTCATATAAAGCAGCATAAAGGAGGCCTGTCATTTGCTGGTCGAGTTAATCAGTGATGTCATCCCACTGACCTGTAAGCGCCAGGTCCACCTCTTTATTTGACGCATCACAAACCTGCTTTATGTTGCACTTGAAACTCTCTACATTTTTCACTTTAGCAACACAAAAAACAAGAAAATATCTGTTAGTGTGACAACATGAAGAGATAAAGCTCTGAGGATTTTCTGCATAAACAAGTTAGGTTCTAACAATCAGAGCACGAAGAAGAAAAATCACCTTCCCTGTGTTGAACTAAAATACAAAGGACAGATTTACACATCTTTAATCCTTGACATACCAGACAAGAGTGGAGGAGATTGTGTAAAATGGGTTTAAAGACAGCCATTAGAAGGCAGAGCTAACCTGTTGTTCAAAGCTCTAATCTATAAGCCTGCAGGTGTGTTTTCTTAGTTATTCAGATTTTATCTAGATAAGTGAAACTGCAAGATCGATAGGCGGATTGGTGCTGCGTCTGCAGTGATGCAGGCATTGTAACGATCTGTCGTGGTGAGGAGAGAGCTGAGCCGGAAGACAAAACTCTTGATTTACCGGTCGATCTACGTTCCTACCCTCACCTGTGGTCACGAGCTTTGGGTAGTGACAGAAAGAATAAGATTGCAGATACAAGCAGCCGAAATGAGTTTTCTCCACAGGGTGGCTGGGCTCGCCCTTAGACATAGGCTAAGAAGCTCGGTCCATCCGGGAGGGGCTCGGAGTAGACCCGCTGCTCCTCCACATCGAGAGGAGCCAGTTGGCTCGGGCATCTGGTCAGGATGCCTCCTGGACGCCTCCCTGGCAGGGGCGGATTTAGGACTGAATAAGATCCGGAGCTTAACACACACACGCGCACGCGCACACACACACACACATGATACGCACTAGTCAACATCATATATGTCTTGTACCACATAATTTTTAATCTGAAGCTACATATTAAGCTTTTTCAGGGCAGAGTATTGTTCCTGTTAGTGTTTAGTGTGAGATGATAGTAAATATTCCCTTTCTTTCTCCATCAACTTTACCTGATAGTAAGCTAGCTTTAGGCAAACCAGCAGCACAACAAATATTTTCAAATAAGACTCACAAACCTGAGTCAACACCAGTCTCATCAAAGCTGGGGTTCTGTTGTTGTACTTTTGGTCTAAAAAACGTCCTTATGTCCATCTTCACTCAGGCGTTTCAGGCAGAGAGTGTAGAAGAAGCCGGCTGCTGAAGGGCTTCTTCTTCAGTGGTGGAGGCTCAGGCAGGCTGTATACAAACTACTGCCAGCTGCTCCCTCTCTGTTGGACTTTGGTACTGCATGTTACTTCCGCGATTTAGATCCGGGGCTTTTCATAAAACATCCGGGGCTTCAGCCCAAGTAGCCGGGCCTAACGCCGCCCCTGCTCCCTGGTGAGGTACTCTGGGCACGTCAACTGGGAGAAGACCTAAAAGAAGACCCAGGAGACGTTGGAGGGACTATGTTTCTCAAGTGGTCAGGGAATGCCTTGAGATTCCCCCGGAGGAGCTGGCCCAAGTGGCTGGGGAGAGGGAAGTCTGGGCCTCTCTGCTTAGGCTGCTGCCCCACAACCAGACACTGGATAAACGCCGAAAATGGACACACACACACACACACATATATATATATATATATATATATATATATATATATATATATATATATATATGCATGTATGTATATATAAGGGACAAAAATTACATGAACTCAGTCTAAGGACTAATATTGGACCTCAGGTCCATCTGTGCTTTTTTTGTGGTCTGAAAGGTTCCTTAATATTAAAAGAGACACATTTGGACAGATTCTTTCAAAAGGTACAATTTCTGGTTATGAACATTAGCAAAGCTATACTTAGTATGCATATAGTATACTGTTCACCATTTTGTGAGCACTGAAAGATAGTTGTAAAATAATTAGTTGGGTTTAAAAAACATTTACAACGTGTTAACCAATTCATTATTTTTGAAAAGAGACAGTGTGGCTCAATTCTATGTTGAAAGCATAAATAATGGGATAACAACCATTATTCCTTCTAATAGCATTTGATAGCTTTTGACCAGGACTATTGATAAGTTTAACAGGTCGGCATTGCGTTTGAAAAGTAAATAATAGTAGCAAGTACTTTTGAATTTTTATCTGCATTCTGATATTTTTGCCATCATAAAATGAAAACACCCACACACACAGTTCCACAGTGGTGTAGCGGTTGTTGTGGTTGCCTTGTAAGTAGGAGTTCCCAGTTTCACATCTTGGTCCGAAGACTCTATGCATGTCCTCTTTTTTTGTACTTTGAATTAAGGGTACAAATTAGTTCCCTAAGGTACGGGTTTGGCATGTAAAAAGGTACAAATGACAAGGGTACACATTAGTACAATTGATGGTACGAAACGGCACCTTGGACGGTACCACCCCAGTGACACGACACTGTACCCCTAAAGGTATAATTCTGTACTTTAATTTCTGAGTGTGTATGTGCGTTTCTCTCTTGATGGAATCTTAAAACAAAATCCTTTTTGTGGAGAAATAAGTTCTGGACATTTCCATGTGATGGTGAAATTAAAGATATGTCACGTATCTGTGTAAGATCCCCTGTGGTCAGTTAACACTCCCAATAAGTGGTGTAAAGGCTCTCATACCACCGCATCAAATTTCAGATCAGTCATTTATTAAGTTGACCGAGTTTGGGACGAGTTTGTTTTTTCTACCATCAGTCAGTTGTGGCAGTCTTGTACGAGACTGACTCAAAACTGTAGTTTAGATTAGATATGAGGGTTTGGGGGCTGCATGGGGCACCGAGGCCATGCAGAAAGAAAGCTGCAAGTTTCAATCTTTCAGATTTTCTGGAGGGAGTTGTGTTCTCAGGCATGTGTGGGTTTTCTCTTGGTACTGCAGTTTCCCTCCACAGACCCAAAACACACAACTGGAGACTTGCCCCTAGGCATGAGAGATGTGTCGGTCGCGAACGAACCGGCTCTAAGAGCCGGCTCTTTGAAGTGAACGACGGGAGCCGGCCCCTCCCCTCTTGCTTTGGTGAAAGCTACAGGCGATCGGTCAACATGTGTAACTGTGTGTGCAGACTTTTCACACACAGAGCAGAAGGGGCGGGGAAGAGGGAGGATCAGACTCAGACACACAGCAGAGCACATGTGGGAGGAGGGAGACGAGAGGGAATGAGGAGGAGGAAAAAGGCGAGCGCCAGCAGTCGGAAAGTGGAGATTTCTTAAAATGTTCAGTTATTACATCCATAGAAATGATAAATATTTGATATATTGCATTTTTTTACATTAGTAAATTATTTTACATATAGTTTAGCATTATTTTGGTTATAAATGTACTCTACACAACAGAAAATCTGAGGAGCCATATGGGAGCCGAAAGAGCCGGCTCTTTTTGGTGAGCTGAGCCAAAAGAACCGGCTCCCTAAAAAGAGCCGGAATTCCCATCACTACTAGGCATGAGTGAGTGTGTGATTGGACACACACACACACACATGCACACAGGGGTAAGAACATTATCGCCTGTCTTCTCCCGAGTGTTGAGGATGGACATCTGCTTAACGGAGCCAGCTGTGTGGAGGACTGGACTGACGAGATCCATTAAACCTTGTAATAATTCAGATTTTGACATTTTCTGCCTTTGATTAGAAAATGTCAGACTTCTGCAAACAGCAGCTTCAGTGGACACCAACCCCGGTCAGTCCCTGTTGACATTCAAGAAAGAAAACAGCCTGAAACTTGGTGGTTAAATTGTGTATTTCCAGAAAAGACTCGGGAGTATTTGCATAAATCTTTTCACTTTTTTCTCAGAGAAGTACAAAAAATATAGTTACAAAAATAAACCCTTTAGGAAAAATTGTAAAAACGATCCCAGTGCCTCAAAAATGTACAAGTACAGCAACAGAACAGTAAATCTAAGGAAACACATCAAACCAATTCAAGTGAGTGAAAGGAAACAGCAGTTAATGAAGAAAACAGCGTCAGAGGAGCATAATGAATCCCCAAGATTTGAGCAACTATCACAAGGTTTAAGGAATGAGCAGAGACCATTCACTCGGCGACACGAGGTGAAGAACATAAAAAAACAGCGTGTTAAGCAGCTGAAGGCTGCAGCAGCCGCTTGTTTCCAACGGTTGCGCGTACGGGGAAATAGGCACAAAAGCCCGTCATCATCTTTACTAAGAATTTGGGGTTTTTCTTTAAAAGGCTGGCACTGCTCACCTCATCACTGACCTTCAAGGTTCTTAAAAATTCTATAAGTCAGGAAAAAAACAAAACTTTCACATTTTCATTTATATTGTAGTTTACTGCAGCAGCACTTCTGTTCTCCTGTTACTGTGGAGGTTTGGTGTCTGCTGACCTCTAAGGTGCTCCCTCCCTCTCCTAGAGTCCACTCAACCAGCCGTTTAAAGAGCAAGTCACCCCCTACAAGAAACTTACTTCACTCCCTCTTCATGTTTGAAAAATGCAACAAATGCTGTTGCTTGGCAGACCGAGAGGGCGGAGCCGCTAACAAATACACACACACAGGCTCACAATGGCATTATGACATCATAATATACCAGATGACATCATAGCATACCTCTTAGTCAATAGCGGTGGCAGATTTAAATTCAAATGCAGTGCAGATTTTTTCCCTGACGACAGCGCAACACTGACAGTTTTAGGCAGAATATTTGAATTTTAACCAAGATGCACTGAACTGCCAAATTATTGACTACACGTGTCTGTAGCATGATTAGACACTCCTTTATATAGTTTATCAGCAAAAAAAACGTGATTTGGGGGTGACTTGCTCTTTAAACAGGAGGCGTGTTAAGGTAGAAACGGACTTCTCAATAAAACACATCACATAAAATGCAAAGCCCAGCTCACAGGAAGTATTAGACTATGGAAATATGGTGCTTCATTATACCGGATTAACCAAAAGTAAAAAAAAAAAAAAATACAGCACATTTTCTATTGACACACCTGTAAAAAAAAATCCGTTGTTTTTACAAAATCATTTTGGCAGCTGTGGTTGCCAGAAAAATTCTGTAAAAAACACTTTGAACATGTAAACTGTTTTACTGAACGTACAGTAATTACAACATTGTTTACTTGTAAAATGTACACAGTCTCATTAATTTATACACATTTTGAGTGTGATTTTTATAAGGGATATTTTGTTAAAAATACAGTAAAAAATGTTTATTTTAACAAAATATCCCTTATAAAATCACACTCAAAATGTGTATAAATTAATGAGACTGTGTAAATTTTACAAGTAAACAATGTTGTAATTACTGTACGTTCAGTAAAACTGTTTACATGTTCAAAGTATTTTTTACAGAATTTTTCTGGCAACCACAGCTGCCAAAATTATTTTGTAAAAACAACTGAATTTTTTTTACAGTGCAGAGGTCCAAAAGAGGAAATACACACAATTTCATTTCTGTTGCACACTAGCCACGTTCTAGTGTGCAAAAGGCATATTCTGGTGGGTGCAGGGGGACAGATTCTGGTGCAAACAAAACACTGTCTGGTCTTCATGCATTCTGGTAAAATCAGGTGATCCCGCGGTCCCGCCCTGTGTGCAGAAGACTCTAACCAGTGTGAAAAATGCACACAAAATGAGAAAGTGATCATTCTTTAAAATCTGCTGTGGCTTCTCAGAGGCTCAGTGCTATCTGTGAAAATAAAACAACGTAGAAGAGACTAAATAAAATGCAGTTGAAGGTGTTCTGGTTACGCGTGCATTTACTGCGAGACGGTTTCTATGAGTTTTTCTGCATCATGAGCTCAGTTCAGGAAAACCTGATCAGATAATGAATCATGCCCACGCCACATGGAAAGCACCGTTATTAGCATTCATCGAGAGGTCTCCTTATGTTTTGAAGCTGCCTGTGCTAAAAGGAAAATTATATAAATAAATTAAATAATGTGGGATCATCACTGTAGACTAATAAAACGGTGTCCTGAGAGCTGGTGGGCAGATTTGTTGGGCTGTTGGCTCCGGTTAGGCAACAAGGTGCCAGAAGGACCAAATGTGATTCACTAGAAACATAAAAAATAGGATTGGATATAAAACCAGGATGTAAATGTTGCAGTTTGGTCCTAAAGGAGTTTGTCCCCAAAGTTTTGCTTATTTGTCTCCAGTCAGTCACAGCTTAGCATCACAGATCCTTCCCAAAGTTGTTTCTTTCAGAATTATAGAAAATAAACAAGAGAGGTCATGAAAACCACGGTTCCTAATTCCCGCAACACCCCCGAGGAGAACAAGAACCCTTTTGAACTATTTACAACTCCCTCACAAACGCCGATAGCACTTTGGACACTTTAGTTACCTCGGATTAACATAAACACAGGGCCTCAGAGAACGTCCATGTTTTTAAGTCAAGACTCAAGACCCGTCTTTTTAGATTAGCTTTTATCTAAATATTTTCTACAGTTTTATTTCTCGTTTTACATGATTATATTTTATTACTTGCTTTGCATGTTCTATATAATTATATTTTAGCAGTTTTATTATTTAAATTATTTTACTGTCTATATCATTTTATTTATTACTTATTTTCAAATTTTTGTCATTTATATTAGCTCTTTTATTATATTTTTACTCATTTTAATCCAGTATTTCCTCTGTAGGGGCCCTCTGCCCCGGGAGCGGTGGTCGACTGTAGCTTCCTGGGCGCTCTATAGGTGGGGGTCTATGCCCCCCCTCCACTGAGCGCCCTGACTTAGTGTGGAAGACCTGATGCTGCCGGGGCAGATGGCTCCTCTGATGGCGTTTCCTTGCGTTACCTTACTTGGCTCATCTGGACTCAGCCAAATATAATTTTTACTTGTGTGTGTGTGTGTGTGCGTGTGCTTGCATATGTTTGTTAATGTTTTTAACCTGTTATGGGAATCTGGGGTCATTTTGTAAAGCACTTTGAATCACACTTTGTTTGAAAAGCGCTTTAGAAATAAATTTGATTGATAAACACAGTAAACGAATGTGCGTTCATCAATAAATTCTTTTTTGCAGTTGTCTTTTTTTTTGGGTTTCTTCAGAGATTGGTTTTAGCGGTAGGCTGATAAAAGTGTGCAAAAATAGAACAAAATCCACATAATCACAAATAATTTAGCTAATTCCTCCAGCCGACATCTTCTGGGGGGGAAATCAGTAGAAATAAGGCACAGAGAGGCAGATCTTCCCCTCACACACGCCAGAGTAAAAAAATAATCAATATGGCGACATTCTGCATTTTCAGCAGAGACGACCTCTTCCCTCTTTGCCGTTTGTGCTGCAAAACGTAATGACAGAGTCAAAACTAGTCACAACACTTCAAATCAATGATCAACAAAGACGTGGCAATAAGAGGTCATGACATCATTTCAACGGTGAGGGAGGTTTAAAAAGTCCATACTGCACTATCCTTATTATTCACAGTAGATAAATGCACTTTTCATTGGTTTAAGTGATGAACAAACACCTTCAAATAAATAATTTATTAGATAAAAGGAATCAGAAACTGTCGCCTCAAAGCTACTGACCCGGTGGACCAGATACATTCGCGGGAGTGAAGACAATCAGTGGGTCTGGATTGTGAGACGCAGCCGTTGGGTGGAGGGACGTCCTCCGGCGCTACGCCGTCTCCGTGGCTTTCAGAGCCAAACGGACGAAGCTGCATTTTTGTTGCTCAGGCACTTTTAAGGTGATTAAAACCAGAACTGGGATGGAGCTCCTCTCATCTCATCTGGTTGGACCTTCATTTGTTCTCTCTCTCATCTCGGATGTGCAAATGCCTTCAGTTACGGGGGGGCCCTGTTGCGCTGATGTACGAGGCAGGAAGTTGTTCTGGTCAGAAGCTGGACTCGGGGACGGGCTTTTTGCGGCCCAGTGAGGTCGTGCTGTGGCGAGTCCTCTGTAGCGGACCGTGGGATGGTCTGTCTGTAGCCAGGCTCCGGGACGGAGCGGTGGTCATCCCGTTCCGATGTAAGGATGCTGTCCTGCGCATGCTGGGCTCGGCTTTGGTGGGTATGTTGGAGGAGCTCTGTGAGCGCTTGATGTCGGAGCATCCCAACTTCCCGTTAGCCAGCTCATTAGCCGGATAACCGGAACCGTTAGATTTGCCACCTTCAGCTCCTGATCTGCCTCCTGCTGCCCCATTAGAGAGTGATACTCTTGATAAAGTCTGTCTGCCTTCCTCCTCACCTCCTCCTTTACCCGACTCTCCGTCTTTGGACTTGACAAGCTCCTTCTCCTTCTTGAGAAAGTTACCTTTGAGGAAGGCGAACAAACCGTCGTGGCTCTTGGAGGCGTCTTCCTTCTTAGGCTTTTCCTCTCTTGCTGTGTGCTGATCCTTATGAATCCTGTCCCCCTTTTGTCGTCTCAGCGTCCCGTCCTGAAGGCTGGCGGGGCTGTGGCTAGGGTGTACTCCAGCACTGGAACTTCGTCTCGTCTCTGTATCTTGTGAGGCTTTGGAGGAGCTGTGTCTCTGTCCATCCTTCCTCCTGGTGAGGGTGTTGCTGCTGCAGCTGCTACCGATGTTCACGGTCTCCTCTCTCGGCTGACTTTCCTTTCGTCGTCTCAGACTCCCTGTCTTATCTGAGGGGTGCCTCTGGCCTTCTGGGACTTGTGGTAAAGGTGGGTCGTCCTCCATCTTGCCCACACAGCTCATACCCCCACCAACGGATGATCGGAAAGCACGAGGCTCTGGAGTTTTCTTTGTGTTTCTTTGTGATTCGTTCATCAGCGTTATTATTGAATCTTTGGTGCAGCGGGGCCGCCGGCCAGACTCCAGGTACTGCACCAGCTCCACAGGGGCCGCGTCCTCAGCTGGAGGAGACACAGTGTCGGGTTTTCGTCTGTCCTTGGAGCCCAGGGACCAGCGCAGAGGAAGCACTTTGCTCAGGCTGTCTTTCTTCTTGCTGGGGACTCTCATGCTCACACTGTGTCCCTTAAGCCCCCTGATGAACGGTTTACTCTCAAAACCACCTGACGATGATGAAAACAAGACAGTTGTTTAGACTTTAGATTTCACATTCAAATGGCAACACGGATCATCTCAGATGCTTTAGGGGTTTCCGACCTTTTTCCTCCTTTAAGCCGTTGTCCTGGAAGACTTGGGACTCCGGGGAGTTGGGTGAGGAAGACGGGCAGGCGTTGGAGCAGCGGGACACCAGACTGCCTCTGTTGCTGTCCTCCGTCAGCCTGATTAGCCAGTGATCTGATGCTGATGAGCTGGTGGAGCCTAAAGAAGAAAGAAAGGAGGAATAAAAGACACGATTACTTGGTAAAGTGCCTCTTGTGATTTGGCTTTGTAGAAATAAACTGAAATTAAAAGTGCAGGCTTTGTTTGACTTTCTATACACCTACAAAACTTAGGTGAAAAAACAGTTTTCCGACGTACTCGGGAGATTGCTCTCCTCCTGAGATTCAAACCACTGATTTGCCACATGCTCAGCTATAAAAGCACGGCCTGCAGAGAAATGTTGCCCCGAGCTGCCACACAGATGGCAACATGCAGCACAGGTAAGGGCAAAGTTCAAATTGAATAAGCAAACATCAATCAATCAAAGCTTTATTTATAAAGCGCCTTCCGCAACCCTGTCAGGAAGCCCAAAGCGCTGAACATGGTTCAGTTGTAGGTAAATATATTGAATAAATCAACAATAAAAGCAATTCAAATTACAAAATAGGTGAAACATTCTGGTACAGGACAAATGTGTAAAACAATGGATAGAGAGACCAATGAAAACTGTGAAATAAATTCAACATAAAAGAGGCCCAAATCAAACATGTTCTGGAAACGCCAAGCGGAGGAGGTGTGTTTTTAGGCGATTCTTAAAGACTGGCAGAGATGGGGACAGCCTAACTGAGGGTGGCAACTGGTTCCAGAGTGACGGTGCTAGGACTGAGAAAGCCCGGTCCCCGCGAGTACGACACCTAGAACGAGGGACAGCGAGCAGGCCTTGGTCAGAGGAGCGCGTGATGGGGAGTGTCTGTTCAGGAGTGTGGCCAGATAGGGGGGAGCACCACCCTGGAAGAAATGATAAACAAAGACGAGGATTTTGAATTGTGAGCGATAGCAAACCGGAAGCCAGTGCAGGGAGGCCAGAACCGGACTGATGTGGTCCCGTTTCCTGGTCCCAGTCAGGAACCTGGCTGCGCTGTTCTGCACAACCTGTAGGCGACACAGTGATGACTGCATATCTAGAATAAACCTTTAGTATAATATTAGTGTACACTAATAAAGATGGAGAGGCACAAGTGTAAAATGTAAGAAGGTAAATAAAACATGCATAAAAGCAGATAAGAATAAAAAACAGGAGAAGTTGCATGAGGATTACATAACATGACATCTGCATGTGGAATGAAGGGATGGGAGTGAGTCATGCTGTGCTGCTGTTAACATAATATAACCAGCGGCCGCTTTAGTTTTGTTCTGATTAAGGAGCCGTACACGTCCAAGGTAAAAACACCTGCGACTCTGGCTGTGGAGCTGCAGAAGTGTTTTCCCGAGGCCAGCAGCTGAAACAGACAGCTGTCTGAATGAAAACAGTTCCTGATGATGTTGGCGGCTCTGCCTCAGCAGCGTCTGATGAAGGAAGGGTAGCTCAACTGTTCTAATCTCTCTCTGCAGGGCTCCACTGTCCTGTTGCCAAACCACGATGAGGTGCTCATGGTCAGGACGCTCTTACTTTCTACCACTAATCCAGAGTTCATATTAATTTAGGTAGCCTGCAGGCATTGATAAAGATCATGATTGGATTCAATCGCAAGAAGGTGTTGCTGCAGAATTTTAATAGACACAAAAAATGGTGTTACTTAGAAGACTTGAGAACTGCCAACCTCGAACACATGATTTAAAGTGACAATAATTTGTTTTTATCAGTAATCTCTGGAAATATCCATCAAAATATTACCATACCATATTTTTTTTAAAGAGCAAGTCACCCCCTACCAGAGTCTAACTCCACTCCCACTTCATGTTTGAAAAATGCAACAAATGCTGTTGCCTGGTAGACCGAGAGGGCGGAGCTGCTAACAAATACACACACACACAGGCTCACGACAGCATTGTGACATCATAATGTACCAGTTTACATCATAGCATACCTCTTAGCCAATAGCGGTGGCAGATTTAAATTAGCATACAGTGCAGAGTTTTTACCTGACAACGGCACAACACTGCCAGTTTTAGGCAGAATATTTAAATTTTAACTAAGATGCACTGAAGTGCCAAATTATTGACGACACGTGTCTGCAGCACGATTAGACACTCGTTTATTTAGTTTATCAGCAAAAAAAGTTTATTTGGGGGTGACTTGCTCTTTAAATAAAGTACATTTAAAAACAACATGACCGCTGACCAAAGAGCTGCAAAATAAGGAACAGGGGAGCTCCATCGTAAAAGACAGAATTCAACAGAGATAAGGAGATAAAACCTTGTTTCAAGGAATCACAACAATAGTGGCACGACTAAAACAACAAATCAAACATAAAACACAAAACATAAAAGGTAAAAGATGTGAGCAGGGAAAACACAGAGTCAAACACAAATGGCCTTAAGCATCGACTAGTGACAGGCCTGTCGTACATGGAGAGGGAGTGTATGCCAGAGTTTGAAGGCACCCAATGAGAAGGATCTGAAGGGCTTTATACGCACAAGTGAAGACCTCAAACTGAATTCTGTACTGAACAGGTAACCAGTGTAGATGGCTAAAGGTTGGTTTATGCTTGACGCGTCCGCACGGCTCCGCGCGGAAAAGTTGCGTCATTTTAACAACCACGCCCCTCCACCGCGTCTCCGCACGGCCCAGAATTTCCGCAACGCGCACCTCGGAACCACGCGGACGGACGGACGTGGAAAAACATGGCGGACCAGCAAGAACTAGTATGGCAGAGGTTCGTAAATACAGACATTTTCTGATTCAGCTCTCAGAGATCACCGTGATCAACATGTTGTTAATAATTCTTGGAGAGAAATAGCTCGCACTGTCAGAAAAGACGACGCTGTTAAAAATGCTGGAATGCCATGTTGTAAACAGTAATTTCTACTTCTACTATGGTGTAGTGTTGGATGCATGCCACAGAGCTCCATGCTGCCCCCTACAGTTTGGGAGAATATTGGCTCACCGCAGAGACGAGCCGCACGAACCATAAACGCTGCGAGTTGTGAAGCGCGTTCCATCCGCGAGCCGCATCACCGCGCGGAAAGTGAATGCGTCAAGCATAAACCAAGCTTTAGGATAGGAGTAATGTGATGGCATCTGGAAGTGTTCCTGAGGAATCTAGCTGCATTGTTAAAAAAGAATTAAATGATGCCCAGTTTTTGAAAAATAGTGGCAGCTCTGTAACATATAACCATAAAAATACACCAGGTGGTGTCAGCACAGAACACCAACTCCCCCCACCCCCACCCCAAGCCCTCACCCATACCCACTCAGAAGTGATATGGCCATCAGGCAGCAACCTGTGGTCACCGCTGAAGACCTCCCACGCTCCACACAAAGCTACCAGAAGGACACTCCCCAAGGTCACCCAAGCATCCCCAGGGCAAGGCAGCAGCCTCCCAGCTCCAGACCCTCCAACGAACCCACCCCTAATGATGATCCAAATGCTGTCCTGGAGCCAGAGCGTGGCTAACCACCACAAAATGCTCAAAGAACAAGAGAAAACATTTGTCATGGCACTAAATAATTCACTACAATGGAAAGAAAAATAGGGCTGCGCAGTGGCGCAGTGGTTAGAGCTGTTGCCTTGCAGCGAGAAGGTCCTGGGTTCGATTCCCAGCCTGGGATCTTTCTGCATGGAGTTAGCGTGTTCTCCCTGTGCATGCGTGGGTTCTCTCCGGGTACTCTGGCTTCCTCCCACCGTCCGAAAACATGACTGTTAGGTTGATTGTTCTGTCTAAATTGTCCTTAGGTGTGAGTGTGTGTGTGTGTGCTTGGTTGTTTGTCTTGTGTGTGTCTGTGTTGCCCTGCGATGGACTGGCTCTCCATTTACAAATAAATTCTTTAAAAATCCCGCCATGTGAATTCATGGATTTTTTTCACATTCTGTCTCACAGTTGAAGTGTACCGATGATGAAAATTACTGACCTGTCATCATTTTAAGTGGGAGAACTTGCACAATCGGTGGCTGACTAAATACTTTTTTTCCCCACTACATATATATATATATATATATATATATATATATATATATATATATATATATATATAGCCATGCCCTGATGTGGGGCTGGGGGGGTGTCGACATGGTCGGGACATGGAAGGGGGTGTGCGGCTAAATAAGTTTGGGAACCAAGACCAAGGAGGATTTTAGAGCACACAAGATTTCCTTTGAGGAACACAGTAAATCTTTCACGAGCAAAGGTAGAGTCATGAATGCATTGGTATTTCACACAAATTAAACACAAACGCAAGCCCACTGATAAATAGAAATTCAAACATTTTTAATTTAAAATTTTACCAACTAACTGCCCTGTTGTTGTGTTTTTACAACAAAGTGATGAAGACAGGTTATAAAATCAGTGTGTTTGCATGATTTCCTCACCACAGAATAGCTTTTATGCTTCAGTGTCAGCACTTTCTTTCGTAAAAGATTATGGATTTTGGTGTGAATTTGATTACTATATTTACTGAATGGTTTCCAATTTTAAAGCAGAGAACATCTAATCAATCGTCTACAGGAGTCAGCTGGTCTGATCTCTGCTCCCATCAGGATGTTGTCTCCCAGATACAGGAGGTCTATGGGAGTCTAAGTGGAACTGGAATGAGACGTTTGGTTTTTTTAACAGAGAGAAAACATGCAGGAAGAATGTGTGTGTGTGTGTGTGTGTGTGTGTGTGTGTGTGTGTGTGTGTGTGTGTGTGTGTGTGAGAGGAATAGTACATACTTCTATGATTCCTGATATATGCCCGGGAAGCCATCGCTCCAAATCTCACCATGGGATAGCAACGATTTTAACTAAACTATAATTAGATGATGCAACAATCCTCAACCCGGCTGAGCTGTGGCTAATGCGTGTTTGAATAAAAGCCCTTCATGTCTGTGTCATCATCTTGTGTGAGCCCACTGTGACAGCTGGCGCTAGCCGTGTTAGCATCATGACATTTCCTCCTGAGGCCAGCAGGATTAGAGCCTCGATGAGAAAACTTAAGGTTCTGCTCACAAAACGGTTGATGTCTGACCTGAATCTGTCACCATGGTAACCAGTGATGGAAACCTAACCTGCTCCAGGGCAGATAAGAGATCTAAACGCGTTGGCAGACCAGTTATGGACCTTGGAAATTAATTAAACAAACACATTCTGGATTGAGAGGAGAGTTCGTTTCTGGAGCTGCACAGTGATGCTCGACTCTCAAACCTCGGCAGAACCGATATGCAGCCGAAATTAAACACATCTATGGCCATAAAGATCCCATTAAGTGGTCATATTCAGATTCAGAGGTGAGTAGATGAATGTAGCTTAATGGCCTCAGTTTGGAGAAATAGTGTTTACATCTATCTAGCCGGTACCGCTCAACCTCTGCCAAAAGCTCCTGCTCCTTCCCCGCCAGCGAGGTGACGTTCCATGTCCCAAAAACCAGTTTTCTTGTCCGGGGATCGGACCGCCAAAGCTCCCGCCTTGGTCTGCCACCCGATCCATATTGCAACGGACCCTTCATGTTCCTCCTGTGGGTGGTGGGCCCACAGTTGGATGAGCCCATATATCCGGTTCGGGCTGGGCCCGGCCGGGCCCCATGGGCGGAAGCCCAGCCACCAGGCGCTCGCTCACGGCCCCAACCCCAGGCCTGGCTCCAGGGTGGGACCCCGGTAACCCTCCGGGCCCGGTACTCCGACTCTTTGAATTTACTTCCATGAAAGATCCTGTGAACCGTTCTTTGTCTCACCCTTCACCTAAGACCCATTTGTCATGAAAGACCCTACCGGGGGGGTAATTGTTTGTAAAAAAAAAAAAGCAAAAACATCAAAGTATTTGATTAGTTTTGTTTGATTTTCAGAATGTCACTTTTACCCTTGTACTTTTTTATAATATTGATGTACTGAAATACAGAGAAATCAACTAGTGAATACAATGCGTATTTTTAAACAAATAAAATGTAGTTTGCTCCTCGCTGGGTAATGTACCTCTAACAGAGCTTCTGGCAGACCATGGAGGAATGGTGTTGCGTCTCTGGTAGAACAGGATGTACGCTCCTTTAGTGCACACTTCCTCCTCAGGCACCAGGTCTACGCTGCTGTCATCGTAGCTGTACCACTGGCCGTCCACAGAATTCCTGCAATAAGCTGCATACAAAAGTGACAAAACTGTCAACAAGGGGCATTTCCAAACTAGAAAATGAATGGATGAACTCCTTTGTATTAAATATGTAAGTGAACACATTTAGAAATTGATGACAACTGATACTCTTTCCCCAGATCTTCCAACCCGGACAACAATATATTTATACTGATCCCAGATCAGTTTTCCTTTAAGCCGTTTCACATGCTGCTCTCTAATCAGACCTGCTGCTCAGCTTTCTAGGTGTCCAGCTCATTAACAAGATAAACATTTCTCTGTGGCTGTAGTTTCCAGGAAGCAGCAGTAACGTATTAACAAGTAGCATTTTTAATATTTTTTCTATGATGTACTGGGTAGGATGACAGAGAGAATCATTTAAATCCAAAATGGGATATTTTGATAACAGGCCATCTGAGTTTGTAAAAAGAATTTATTTTAAAAAATCTGCTAAATGTTCCTTACTGAATGATTCATTTGTCACTGTTATCACAGCCGTACAAAGTCTCCTGAATTATGAGCTTTTTTACTTTACAGTTATTTAGTATGCTACTGCATGCTGCTTCTATATTGTGTGTGCAGATAAAGTCCCGTCACATACCAGTATAATGTCCTCCGTGCATTCCTCCATGGTGGTTACACACAGCATACAGGTCATACAGGTAATCATGGGGGAGGATTAGGGCTGCTGGCTGATGGTTGGGGCCTGAAGGCTGCTTTCTGGATAGGAGAGAGGACCCCTGGTGCAGGTTCTTCATACTCTGACTCCTCTTCACCACATGAGGAGCCATGTCCAAAGCAGTCAGAGGGAATCGCACCAAGGTCGACAGCTTGTTTCGGCGCTCACCAACCTGTTGGAACAATTTTACTCACATTAGCTAAAAAGGAATAAGCGGACACATTCTTTGGTTTTATGCATGAGATGTTTGAACCAATCAGTATGAAGTCCTCCATACCACAATGTATGGACAAGAACTAGGACTGAAACTTATGTTTATGTTTATGTATTTAGCAGACGCTTTTGTCCAAAGCGACTTACAAGTGATAATCGGCATTTTGCCCTTGAGGCTAACAACAACAACAACAACAAATTGACATCAGTCATGGAGAGGAGGGAACAAGGAGTGGACAGTAGAGAGGGGGGGACGGGTGCAGACAAGGTGCTAGTTAAGAAGATGCTCTCTGAAGAGCAGGGTCTTCAGGAGTTTCTTGAAAATAGAAAAGGAAGCCGCAGTTCTGGTAGTGTTAGGAAGGTCATTCCACATTTGTGGAACGATGCATGAGAAAAGTCTGGATTGTCCTGAGCGTGGTGTAGGCACTGCTAGCCGACGATCCTGTGATGACCGGAGCGGCCGGGCCGAGACGTAAGCCTTTGCAAGAGGATTCAGGTAGATGGGAGCCGTACCGTCTCGGACTTTGTATGCTAGTGTTAGCAATTTGAATTTGATGCGTGCTGCTAGCGGTAGCCAGTGGAGCTCAATGAACAGAGGGGTGACGTGTGCTCTTTTAGGCTGATTGAAGACCAGACGCGCCGCTGCCTTCTGGACCACTTGAAGAGGTTTCACAGTACAGCCTGGAAGACCAGTTAGAAGAGCATTGCAGTAGTCGAGGCGGGAGATGACAGCAGATTGCACCAGGCGCTGGGTGGCATGTTGTGTTAGGTATGGTCTGATCTTACGTATGTTGTACAGCGCAAAGCGGCATGAACGGGCAACAGAGGCAACATGATCTTTAAAGGCTTCTATAAAATAGGTCTCACATAAAAACATAGGAAAACAAAACAGACCCCAGAGCAGTAGAAACAATCTGTATTTGTCTCTATACCCCTAGTCCTCATCTTTAGATCTTTAGACCAATAGTCCTCGTCTTTAGATCTTTAGAACGATAGTCCTCATCTTTAGATCTTTAGAACGATAGTCCTCATCTTTAGATCTTTAGAACGATAGTCCTCGTCTTTAGATCTTTAGACCAATAGTCCTCGTCTTTAGATCTTTAGACCAATAGTCCTTGTCTTTAGATCTTTAGACCGATAGTCCTCGTCTTTAGATCTTTAGAACGATAGTCCTCATCTTTAGATCTTTAGAACGATAGTCCTCGTCTTTAGATCTTTAGAACGATAGCCCTCATCTTTAGATCTTTAGACCGATAGTCCTCGTCTTTAGATCTTTAGACCGATAGTCCTCGTCTTTAGATCTTTAGACCAATAGTCCTCGTCTTTAGATCTTTAGAATGATAGTCCTCATCTTTAGATCTTTAGACCGATAGTCCTCGTCTTTAGATCTTTAGACCGATAGTCCGCGTCTTTAGATCTTTAGACCAATAGTCCTCGTCTTTAGATCTTTAGACCGATAGTCCTCGTCTTTAGATCTTCAGAATGATAGTCCTCATCTTTAGATCTTTAGACCGATAGTCCTCGTCTTTAGATCTTTAGACCAATAGTCCTCATCTTTAGATCTTTAGACCGATAGTCCTCGTCTTTAGATCTTTAGACCAATAGTCCTCGTCTTTAGATCTTTAGACCAATAGTCTTCATCTTTAGATCTTTAGACCAATAGTCTTCGTCTTTAGATCTTTAGAACGATAGTCCTCATCTTTAGATCTATCGAACGATAGTCCTCGTCTTTAGATCTTTAGACCAATAGTCTTCGTCTTTAGATCTTTAGAACGATAGTCCTCATCTTTAGATCTTTCGAACGATAGTCCTCGTCTTTAGATCTTTAGACCAATAGTCTTCGTCTTTAGATCTTTAGAACGATAGTCCTCATCTTTAGATCTTTCGAACGATAGTCCTCGTCTTTAGATCTTTAGACCAATAGTCCTCGTCTTTAGATCTTTAGACCAATAGTCCTTGTCTTTAGATCTTTAGACCGATAGTCCTCGTCTTTAGATCTTTAGAACGATAGTCCTCATCTTTAGATCTTTAGAACGATAGTCCTCATCTTTAGATCTTTAGAACGATAGTCCTCATCTTTAGATCTTTAGACCGATAGTCCTCGTCTTTAGATCTTTAGACCGATAGTCCTCGTCTTTAGATCTTTAGAACGATAGTCCTCGTCTTTAGATCTTTAGACCAATAGTCCTCGTCTTTAGATCTTTAGAACGATAGTCCTCATCTTTAGATCTTTAGACCGATATTCCTCGTCTTTAGATCTTTAGACCAATAGTCCTCGTCTTTAGATCTTTAGACCGATAGTCCTCGTCTTTAGATCTTTAGACCAATAGTCCTCGTCTTTAGATCTTTAGACCAATAGTCCTCGTCTTTAGATCTTTAGACCAATAGTCTTCGTCTTTAGATCTTTAGAACGATAGTCCTCATCTTTAGATCTATCGAACGATAGTCCTCGTCTTTAGATCTTTAGACCAATAGTCTTCGTCTTTAGATCTTTAGAACGATAGTCCTCATCTTTAGATCTTTCGAACGATAGTCCTCGTCTTTAGATCTTTAGACCAATAGTCTTCGTCTTTAGATCTTTAGAACGATAGTCCTCATCTTTAGATCTTTCGAACGATAGTCCTCGTCTTTAGATCTTTAGACCAATAGTCCTCGTCTTTAGATCTTTAGACCAATAGTCCTTGTCTTTAGATCTTTAGACCGATAGTCCTCGTCTTTAGATCTTTAGAACGATAGTCCTCATCTTTAGATCTTTAGAACGATAGTCCTCATCTTTAGATCTTTAGAACGATAGTCCTCATCTTTAGATCTTTAGACCGATAGTCCTCGTCTTTAGATCTTTAGACCGATAGTCCTCGTCTTTAGATCTTTAGAACGATAGTCCTCGTCTTTAGATCTTTAGACCAATAGTCCTCGTCTTTAGATCTTTAGACCAATAGTCCTTGTCTTTAGATCTTTAGACCAATAGTCCTCGTCTTTAGATCTTTAGAACGATAGTCCTCATCTTTAGATCTTTAGAACGATAGTCCTCATCTTTAGATCTTTAGAACGATAGTCCTCGTCTTTAGATCTTTAGACCAATAGTCCTCGTCTTTAGATCTTTAGACCAATAGTCCTTGTCTTTAGATCTTTAGACCGATAGTCCTCGTCTTTAGATCTTTAGAACGATAGTCCTCATCTTTAGATCTTTAGAACGATAGTCCTCGTCTTTAGATCTTTAGAACGATAGTCCTCATCTTTAGATCTTTAGACCGATAGTCCTCGTCTTTAGATCTTTAGACCGATAGTCCTCGTCTTTAGATCTTTAGAATGATAGTCCTCATCTTTAGATCTTTAGACCGATAGTCCTCGTCTTTAGATCTTTAGACCGATAGTCCTCGTCTTTAGATCTTTAGACCAATAGTCCTCGTCTTTAGATCTTTAGACCGATAGTCCTCGTCTTTAGATCTTCAGAATGATAGTCCTCATCTTTAGATCTTTAGACCGATAGTCCTCGTCTTTAGATCTTTAGACCAATAGTCCTCATCTTTAGATCTTTAGACCGATAGTCCTCATCTTTAGATCTTTAGACCAATAGTCCTCGTCTTTAGATCTTTAGACCGATAGTCCTCATCTTTAGATCTTTAGACCAATAGTCCTCGTCTTTAGATCTTTAGACCGATAGTCCTCATCTTTAGATCTTTAGACCGATAGTCCTCGTCTTTAGATCTTTAGACCGATAGTCCTCGTCTTTAGATCTTTAGACCGATAGTCCTCGTCTTTAGATCTTTAGAACGATAGTCCTCGTCTTTAGATCTTTAGAACGATAGTCCTCGTCTTTAGATCTTTAGAACGATAGTCCTCGTCTTTAGATCTTTAGAACGATAGTCCTCGTCTTTAATCTTTCGAACGATAGTCCTCATCTTTAGATCTTTAGACCGATAGTCCTCGTCTTTAGATCTTTCGAACGATAGTCCTCATCTTTAGATCTTTCGAACGATAGTCCTCGTCTTTAGATCTTTAGACCGATAGTCCTCGTCTTTAGATCTTTAGACCAATAGTCCTCATCTTTAGATCTTTAGAACGATAGTCCTCATCTTTAGATCTTTAGACCGATAGTCCTCGTCTTTAGATCTTTAGACCAATAGTCCTCGTCTTTAGATCTTTAGACCGATAGTCCTCGTCTTTAGATCTTTAGACCAATAGTCCTCGTCTTTAGATCTTTAGACCAATAGTCCTCGTCTTTAGATCTTTAGACCAATAGTCTTCGTCTTTAGATCTTTAGAACGATAGTCCTCATCTTTAGATCTTTCGAACGATAGTCCTCGTCTTTAGATCTTTAGACCGATAGTCTTCGTCTTTAGATCTTTAGACCGATAGTCCTCATCTTTAGATCTTTCGAACGATAGTCCTCGTCTTTAGATCTTTAGACCGATAGTCCTCGTCTTTAGATCTTTAGAACGATAGTCCTCGTCTTTAGATCTTTAGACCGATAGTCCTCGTCTTTAGATCTTTAGACCGATAGTCCTCGTCTTTAGATCTTTAGACCGATAGTCCTCGTCTTTAGATCTTTAGACCGATAGTCCTCGTCTTTAGATCTTTAGACCGATAGTCCTCGTCTTTAGATCTTTAGACCGATAGTCCTCGTCTTTAGATCTTTAGACCGATAGTCCTCGTCTTTAGAACTTTAGACCGATAGTCCTCGTCTTTAGATCTTTAGACCAACAATCCTCGTCTTTAGATCTTTAGACCAATAGTCCTCGTCTTTAGATCTTTAGACCAATAGTCTTCGTCTTTAGATCTTTAGAATGATAGTCCTCATCTTTAGATCTTTCGAACGATAGTCCTCGTCTTTAGATCTTTAGACCAATAGTCTTCGTCTTTAGATCTTTAGAATGATAGTCCTCATCTTTAGATCTTTCGAACGATAATCCTCGTCTTTAGATCTTTAGACCAATAGTCTTCGTCTTTAGATCTTTA